AGAAAAATACAAGAAAAGGGCCGAAAATAGGAAAACAAAAGTTAAAAAAATAACATGTTGACACAAAGGATATATATATAGAACATATAGAAGAAAATTTGTGTAATTAGAAAATAGAACATATATTCATAACATATTCATTACAATCTTACAGGCCAATGGTCCCTTCCTAGGCTCGTGCCATCCCATGTCCATTTCCGCGAAATATGGTATAGGAACAACCCCATCTTTGAATAATTTTTATCCGTTTAATATTTGCCATTAAAAAAAACTGTTACGTCAACAATTAATACGGTGATCCGCGTAATGTATATAATTTAAAATGTAAACAATGATGAAAACTTTTTATAATTTGATTTTTTAATATTGATAATTTACTTTTATAAACAAATATTTTAAAATAATAACATTATTCATGTTAATATAAATTTTTCAAAAAACTAAAAATAAAACACTCATACGAATTAAGGTATTATGTAAAAATATTATTTTATTAAGGTATTAAATTGTTAGTATACCATCAAAAGTATTTTTTTTTTGTCAAGTCGCGTACTTTGATGAGTGAATTTATTATTAAAAATTTTACTTAAGTAATATTAAGTCATTTATTACTCATATTAACATCTATTAATAAAAATATTTTATTTATTATATCAAAACATCATATGGTGCATAGGAAGGTGGCTATCTGTTTTAAATGATAATTGATGAAAAATATGACAATTTTATAAAAAATTAAAGTCCTATATTTTAAATATTCACTTGTACTTAATGGATATTTTTATAACACAGATACAATTTTAAATATTTATGTATCGGTTTCATTGAAAATCAGTAAAAAAAATACACAATAACTAGTTATTATACTTAACTACTAAAAAAAATCATAATCATGTATAGTTTTACCATTGAAAGTGAATTTTTTTTAAAAAAATTACAATAATTCATTAGTTAATATCGTGTAAATTATACTTTTACTTCATTTGTCACAATAATATTGATGAATTATTCTTCAACATTTTACGATATATTTTTTTAATTTAATTGTAATTGAACATTTGTAGATAAGTATAATTTATGAAAAATTATAACTTTTTATTTATATATTTGTGATATAATAACAATGTAGTTTCAGAATAATATAAAATAATTATTCTTTATGATTTAGTAATAATAAAACTTTTTATCTTCAAGTGGGATAAAAAGTATTCATTTGATTTAAAGAACAAAATGTTTTCTTTTAAAATTCAATTTGCATACGGAATATATATTTACCTTTACCTCCCAAATATTAATATGTTTGCATAATCAGTACCTATCAATTATTTCATAATTAAATTAAAAGCATTTATGTAAATATTTCAATCCAAAAGTATGTGATATTATTTTATGAAAAAAAATTTCCATATGAATATATATTTTAGTAATTAACACTGTAATCTACATACATACACGTTAATATTATTTTATAAAAAACATATTTTTATATAGTTTTAAAATGCGTATCAGAAAACTTTTTACTTTTGAGGGAAGACATGCACTTGGAAAGATAAAGTGAATTTGAACGTTTACATTGCATGAAAACGCCAATTAATTAATTAAATTTTAAATTACATATTAAACACTCACAAGTTGATAAGTGAATGATGAAGTAATCACCACTGACTGCAAGCAATTATTGGCAATTAGAACATAACGGATATACAGTAAACCACTAAACCATTATTTTGACGGAGGAAAATGCCGTGGGATATAGACAGCTACCACAATCAACTTGCCTTTAAGCTGATAAAATCTTCCCAAAGGCCAACCTAAAACAAATGGCCGGCAGAGAAGGGTGACCACCAAGTAAGCTTTCAATGTGTACCTGATAGGATGCTAATCAGTCTTAAAAATAAAAGAAAAAATTTGAATACTTTTTTAACTTCAACAAAATAAGTATCTATTGATCGGATTAAAGAATAATTAAATTAATTAAAGTAAATAATTAAATTATTATTTATTTAATTATATTGCTAAAATCAAGATTGATTCATAAAACTTATTAGTCTATAATATTGCCTATAAAAAGGAGATAAAGAATATATGTAAGGAGTTAACTTTTCAATATTAAATAATATTTATTATCTAAACTGATACTTGACTTTATAAATAAAGTACTTTTTGCAAGTACACTCCTTCTACATCAAACAGAGAAAAATCTATGATACAAAAGATAATATCTCATCACGCAGTAAAAAAATATTTCAAAAATTAATACTTTCTTAGCAATAACAATGATTTTTTTAAACCTTTTTCACCTCATTTCTAAAATTCTCATTTCAATATTTCGTGGGTGATAAAAATAATTGCTTTTTTAAAATTTTTATCATAAATGAGATTATAGTATTTACATTTCATAAAGAGTTAATTTAAAAAGATGAAATTCGTAAAATCCCTTACCCTCCTTCCACACAGCTAAACCTTTCCTCGTACCTTATCCTCACACCTACCATTACCGACTCCTTATTCGTTACCAAAGCTACTCGGAAGGATCATAAACAGAGTGGGCACCACCGAGATATGACCCGTGAGATCCAATGGATGTTAAAATTTTATAAATGGGAGAAATTCCAATTATCAAAATAAATATCGAAACTAAATATATTTGAATTCAATTACGCAATTTAATTTTCTTACGGGAAGATCAGCCCATGTATCTAAATAATGAATAAATGTTATATTTTATTTTAAAATTCATGAAACATGAGGTGAATATATGAATAGAAATAATATATAATAAAAAGAAAAATACTTGACGAATCAACCTAATTTGCCACAGCATGTGAAATATGCAAGATATGCAAGAAAAATTTATACATGACCCAACTTCTAAATTTTGGAGGATTAATCAAGTTAACATGGTAGGTAAAATTCATTTTGTCAAAATTAATTTTACTTGTACAATTTAGATACATGTCTGATAACTCCACCAAACCACTATTTGCGCTGGAAAAATTCAAAAGTAGGTATTAATTTAATCAATTATTATACTACTCACTGTTCTGTTGGATTTTAATAAATTAATCAGTCATCAAATTTTGCATTCAAATTTCAACTTTGAACACTTGTTCCATACGATTTATAATAAGGTATCTATCAATGTCAATTTATTTTCTCTGACATTATTTATAAATATTAAAATTTATTAATTTAATCATTGAAATGGAATTTAAATTTTATGCAATTTAAAATTTTACTAATATTTCATTATTTAATCTTATTTCAGTATATAATATATTTTTTGATATATAAATAGACATCAACCATGAATTTATATGCTTGTAAATGGTTAATCAATTAAAAATTTAACATGTATAACCCTAAAAAAACAGTGTTAAATGATTCAATAATTTGATTCTCGTAAGTATTTTATAAGAGATTAAATATAACAAGTATTCGACACTTTGCTTATGGAGCAAGTAGATCAATCCCTTCACACACACGTACATATATCGTTGACATTTAAATTTAAATTGACATATTATTTGATGAATTTAAAAATGTTAAACATATATAAATATACAAGATGTTAATTTCTTTGAACAATATAATAATATATTAATTAATACAAGCGTAATTTTTAACAAGACAATGGCTAACTCAAAATCAAATTATTCTTATTCATATTTAAATTTGATTCAAAAAGACGTAGCTGCATAGGAAAAAGAAAATGAGTATGCACAAACACTTTTGACTAATGTTATTTTAATGTTGTCATGTTATCATAAAGGTGACATCAACGCATATGCAGAACTTGGTCCCATATGTAAAGGTTTACACGACCTTTATTAGCTAGATTAATTTGGACGGATCCCGTATTGCTAATGGGCGATGCAGACGTCTTATCCACCATATAATAAAGACTTTGATGAATAAAATTTATATTACTTTAATTTATATATCAAACTATAATCTATTGCACTTGACTTTATAATGGTTGTATTAAATGGTTAATAACCAAATAATCGGCATCGCCACATCACTTTCACTGTTCCAAAGCTTTGTTTTAGACTGAGTTTAAATATTTTTTTAGAATTTACAAAATGAATTTCTATTGCAGTTTATACCTAAAATTGTATTACGCGACCGTGTGCAAAAATTAATCATAAAATTAGATCATTCATGTTAATTAATTGTTACCCATGGCCATTGGTAATATTGCTGCAATTATTACTCATGCAAGTTTGTGAGAAGTTATGCATAATTGTTTAACTGTAGTGGTCCACATCGGTACTCAAGATTTTAAATCCAGCAATGGTTATTTTTGTGTTTATTTTCCCTTGTTTTTATTTAAATTTTTAAATAATTTGATTTTTCTCCTTACATTTTTTTTTCAAACTACAAAACTTTCAAAACTTACTATTAATAAATTTTCTTCATAAAAAACTTCAACCTTTTTTTTTAAATGTTATGTATATTTTCCCCAAAAATATCCAAAGATATCCTTACTGCTTTCGCGAATAACTGATTAGAATTTACCACCATATTATTCACAAATTGTGAGATTACATACAGAAACATGTGCTTATTTTTATTTTTATTTTTGTCTTTTGACTGCATTTCTTTATGAATATGATTGTGAAATAACTAGTTTTTTTTATTCTTATAAATTATATTTCTTAAAAATCATAGTTTTGAAAATGTAGCAAATATTTTTAATATGATTTGGAAAAATTGAGTATATTCAAACAAATTTAAAATACTCTTATAAACAATTTATATCAAACACGGGAATGCATAATTCACAAATTGGAATTGTTGAAAAGCTTAAAAGACTAAACAATGTTGAGAGAAAAGCATTTTTAATACAAGTATGAATATAATTTCAGATTTCACAATACAAAAAAATAATAAAATTATTTGTTATGAAAAAAAGTCTTATTATAAAAAAAATTGAAATGAGTTGGTTACTTTGGATCTAGAATTGGATAAGTGGGAACCGCTCAGTGCTCAGACTCGCCCCGCGCCAAACCATTTCATTTCAAAGCGGAAATTCGATTGTGTTTTACTCTTCACAGTGAACAGTTTTCTCGGATAATATTTCAAATTTTCCGAGAAAATCTTCAATATCCTTTTTCTTTCACACTCTAAGAATTTGAGACTTTTTAAAAGGTAGACACAGCAAGTTGATTTTTTCCCTTACACTCTCACTGGTTTCTTCATAATTTATATTTTCATTTCCCTAGTTCCTGTTTGGGATAAGATTTCTCACTCTCACAAAAACGAATCATTTCCACCGTTTCCCCTCACTGTTACCTTAATTTCATAGTCTCTTTCTATTTTGTGCATGACGATCAGACTTTGGTGACTGCGCTTGTGAATTATCTGGTTCTCTAGACATGGCGTGGTGGGATATGTTATCTTTTGGAAAATTTTGGACACTGTTTCAGGTTACTACTGAACTTCTCTGATTTTCTTTCCGTTTTCTGTTGTTTCTTTTTGAGGAATCCGGTAGGTACGGTAGCACTCTTTTTACTTATAGTTTTTTATTACTAACAAAATTATTAAAATAAAAAAGAGATAAATCTATTACTATAACGGGGTGAGACCATGTACACTCTGTAAAATATATTTCTTGTTTTTTGTTTATTTTATTAATTTTTTCTCTCACTGGTTCATGTCGAAAATTCTGGTTAATTGTTTTAGCTGTGTAGCATTACCCGTTTTCAAAGGTTTGTGATGACTTTGAAAACCTTGATATTGTGATGAATTGGGGACAAACATAATCGATGTTGCTGCAATTGTGGTCATGATAAGAATTTAAGTATATTAATTGTATAAAATATTTATATTATTATTTAATTATAGATTGATATATAATTAAATTTTTTTATCTTTCGTAATAATTATTTTAATATTTTTAACTAATTAACAGTGTAAATATATTCAGACGGAGTATGTACCAAAATGAAACTCTTTATAAAAACCTCCAAAAAGTTTGGTAATATATCTGCAATCACGACTTTAAAATCCCGGTTTTTTGCCAGTACAAATACGTCCTCTCTCAGCAGTGTGGGTATTTGAAAAGTTTGAAAACCAATACTGTAATATGGCAGGAAATGCTTCCAAGTGGTGATTATGTACCGCTTTGTCAGCTAGTATATGCATGTGTGAAATTCGTGGTCAATTTTACTCCCCCAAATTAAATTTTGTCTAATTACACGTTTTCTTGGTTGTTTATTACGGCAGGTAGGGGCGAGGCAGGTTGATCCTGCGGCTCATACTATCAGGTCCCATGGAGCGGCAATTGCAAGAAATCACATTCATGATTGGCTTATATTGGTGCTCCTCATAGTAATAGAGGTTGTCCTTTATGTCATTCATCCATTTCACCGCTTTGTGGGAAGGGACATGATGGACGACCTTAAATATCCTATGAAAGGCAACACGGTGCCCGTATGGGCTGTTCCTGTAAGTTTTTTTTTTCACTGCATAACTCACTTGAGATAAAAGTTCTGTGTATTGCTCCTTGTATCGGGATCTTTTCGTTTGCATTTAGGTTCATTATATATCTGCTTTACATTCAATTATTTGATTGTATCATTACAAAATGCTGACAGCTCTTTTCTGTCAAAGTACTTCTTGGGTAATTAAGTCTTGCTCAAAAACATGATAGAAAAAATTGAGAGGCGTCAACATTGTTTGATTCCCACACATCTTCTGTATGAGCTAATCGATCGCTTTTTTTTCTTCTGCTAATTGTCAGCTATATGCGGTTCTGTTGCCAATGGCCGTTTTCCTTCTATTCTACATGCGCAGGAGAGATGTTTATGATTTGCACAACAGTACTCTAGGTAACCTTTGCGTTTGGCATATGTGATATGTCCTCACATGTGTGCGTTGCTAGTCCAATCCATACATCTTTATATGCAAGAAGCAATTTCTACATTTTTTCTAGACCAAAACGAAAATAAAAAAAATGTCATAAAGTATATTTTTTCAAGAGCATCTCATTCAATTAAATTAATTATAAAAATAAGATCCGATAGTTTATTCTATTTTAAGCAAATAGCTTAAATTAAATTATTTAATTATAAAAATAACATAAGTTGATTTTAATGAAGTAAAGGAATAGTTGAACTTATATTTAAGGAGAAAAAAAAAATATTGTTGTTTCATATAAGAGTATATTGCACTCCCTTTCTTGTAAACAGCTTGAATTAACTGCCCCTTTTTTATTTTAAAAATCATAATTTTCTTCCATCATGTTAGTGTGTACTATGTTTTAATTTATTTTTATGTGAATGATAAAGTCAAAATTTTCTCTTTTGGGACTCTTAATATTATTGATAATTAGCTTTGAAAACCGAATAAAAGAGAAAAAATATAATTTAAACTTAGTGAGGATAGTAAAATATACTTTTTTATCCTATTTAAATATGTTAAAATAATTAAAATATGTGTAATTTTTATCAAATATTATGTAACTTATTAAGTTTTAAATAGTTAATAAATACAAATTTTGATCATTAAATATTTTTAATTACTCAACTTATCATTACATATATTAATTAAAAAATTTATACTGATATAAGTTACGTAACTACGTAAAGTTTATATTTTATAAATAATAAAAATTGTTCTTTTTGTATATTTTAATTTAATGAAAGTAAGTCGAATTTCTGTCACAACTGAGGTGTGAAATTTTTTCATCGTATAAATTACTAACTCTTGAAATAACGTTGTCATAAAGATAGATTTTTGTTATTTTTGTTCAAAATAAAATTTAAAGATTACAACTTTTATTCTTCACATTTCTGTAGATAGATTGATATTATTAGAGTTGGTGAATTGTAGTTAATGTACTTCATTGCTAGCTAGCAGGTCTTCTCTTTGCTGTTCTGATCACTGCGGTCTTGACCGATGCAATAAAAAATGCAGTTGGCCGGCCTCGGCCAGACTTCTTTTGGCGTTGCTTTCCCGATGGAGTAGAGGTAAGCAAATCTATCATTTGTCACTATATAATGTGGATTAATATATCATGTGTTGTTGTGGTAAAAGAATTGTATGTTTTCACATACCAATAAAGCAATAAAAGTTGTTTTTTATAACTATCGTTATACTAGAACTTCTTAAGTCTCAACTATTAATGACAGAGCGGAGGAATTAATATTTAGAAATTAAGACAAGTAGTTTGAAAATTTTGTCATATTTAAGGTTGGATTTTGTGTCTTTTAATTCTTGTGCCTTGCACCAAAATGACACTATGCTATGAACCGTAGAGAGTAGTGACCTTAATTTCTGAACATTTCACCTTGTCCTTTGTTGTGACGAGCTCATTAGCTGTTAGTTTGTTTCTTCTTCACGTCTTTCTAAACTAATTATTGGAGTACATTGCAATGTGGGCTTTTAGTGAGATGATTTTAGACTACGTTATGTGCTTATTTAATAAATTTATTTTGATAAATTTTTTTATGAACTTTATTGAAATAATTTCATGATATGTAATCTGCAACTTTGTAATTAGAGAAGAGAGTTGAATCTGAATTCATTCAGTGGCAGTGATCGTTCTCCGTACAGAAGTAATAACGTTTTATACAGATGAAGAGAAGGTAAAAACTAACCAAAAGAGTAGTAACTAATGGCAGATAACTAATATCGAACTTAACTAACTAGGGATTAATTACCAAATTCAATAAAACTACAAAGTGCAATTACAGATCAGGAAAAATAAGTTAATTTAAAAAGATATTGCACGACGTGTTTAAGTGCTTATACAAGATGATAAACCCAAATGTGGCCATCTCTTGAAGAGCTGCCAGATTAAACTTTTCTAAATCGACATTTTATCTTCTCCAATTTTAATTCTTGGCTTTTCTTTTTCTTAAATAGAAATTAACTGTCATTTTCTAAATCCACGTTGTATCTCTTGAGAGCTGTCAAATATAACTGTCATTTTATACAGATGGGTAACTGTCAAGGAAAGTGGTCCTTATTAGTCGCTTTTGATTAACCTTACAGGTTTATGATAAATGGGGGGGTGTGGTATGTCATGGCAAGGCAAGTGATATAAAAGAAGGACACAAGAGTTTCCCAAGCGGCCATACATCATGTGAGCAACAATATTTTATTCCCTACTCCCTCTCTTTTTCTGCTTGCTTTAGTGGAAGCAATTGGAATTATGTAGACAGGTCGAATCTGAACACTGATTTTTATTTCTCTTCTCAATAACTACTTTGGTGAACGTACTAGAAACGCAATATTTACTAAAAACAGCATTGCTTTTACCCATAGAATATTTGAAGAGTAGGAAATTGGTAAACATTATTTTAATTAAACTCATCAGTTGTCTGACACCGAAGTGAATTCTTTCCTAGTTTAATGCTAAATTTGTTCTCTTAAACGCTATATTCTCTTATGAAGACGTACTAGCTCCTTTCTTCGGAAAATTGTTTATGCATGGACATTCAATCTGATAAATTTAGTTCTGCAGGGTCCTTTGCAGGTCTAGGTTTTCTCTCTTTGTATCTATCTGGGAAGATTAAAGCTTTCAACCGCAAAGGGCACGTAGCAAAATTATGCATTGTGTTTTTTCCTCTGCTTGTTGCCTGTCTTGTTGGAATCTCTCGAGTGGATGACTATTGGCACCATTGGCAAGATGTATTTGCTGGAGGCCTTCTAGGTTTGTTTTTATTGACTTAAAAAATTGAAGTAGGGAAAGGATCCGGCTTACAGCCAATAATAGAAATAATTAAAACTCATTTTGTGAAAAACAAATAAAAGTGAAACTCACTACACTGTGTTTCCTCCAGGGCTTCTTGTGGCAACCTTTTGCTATCTGCAGTTCTTCCCTGCGCCCTACAATGATGATGGTAACACCTCTATCTCCCTCTTTTTTATTTATCCTTGTTTTTGGATTATACGAAACTATCATTGTTATATTATTGTCTGTCACATTCTGTGGGCATTGTTTTCTTCTAAAGCTCTGCTCCTGCATAGGATAATAATGAAACTTCTAAAGTTTTTATAAGCTTTTAAATTAATTTAAGAAAAAAATTAGCATATGAACAATTTTTTTCGAATGAATTAAATAATTTATCTTTTTATTTTTAGGAAAGTTAAATGAGAAAATTTTTATAAATTATTTTTAAATTACGATAGAAATTTTATTATTTTTCATATTTTATAATTTAAAAAAATTGAAATAAAAAAATTACCTCAAAACTTAATTATACATGTATCCTCACCCGAAAGTCAATATCCAAGACATTTTTTGTGTGGTACATTTGAAGAATTTATTTTGTCCTCTCTTCGATTACACTTGCGCATGGGGAAGGGTATTTGACTGTTGTAGCAATAATCTATTTTTTAACCAACCCAAATTCTTTGTAACTGTGCCACTATTGCCATGAAAATATAATTTCTATTTCGTTTGAGAACAACAGATGTTAATGAGCTAGAAGCCTGGTCAGGTGCAATTTGGTTGAATAGAGTAATATGCTTGTTTAATTAAATTCAGCATAAATTCAGCATAATATGTTAATAGAGGATATTAAACTCTCTCAATTATAAATGTAGAGTAAATTTTATTTAAAAATAAATAAAAATAAAAATAATTATATAAAATATCACAAATAATATTAACTTTTAAGGAGTCAAATAATGAAATTCACATAAAAAATATTTTAGATGTATTTGGTCTTCCTACTTGAGGTAATGCCAGGTGGCTGCCTAGCTGGTTGAATTACCTTTACAAATATTATTTTCATTTCATATTGTTTGGATCATTGTAGTCATGATCTTTTTATTATTTTTCTTGTTAAATGAAGCAATGCTTTCATGACTTTAAAAAATGACATTTTTAAAAAAATTATAAAATATTAAGAAAACTGTTAAGGGAATTCATTATGAGAAGATATAGCTTAGTCCTGAATCCTGATAACGTATATGAAGTATTCCATTGAGTCTTGAGCAGCTTTTACATTTCTCTTTTCAGGATGGGGTCCATATGCATATTTCGAGGCTATGGAGGAAGCAAGAGCCAATGCAAACAACAATCGGAATTCACCCGTTGTACAGGCCATGGAGGATCGAGTTATGAATCAAGTACCTGGGAGAAATGGTGATGCATTCATCAGGACCCCTTTCTCCTATCATAGCCCAACCTTGGAAGCCATGGAGTTGGGACAAAAGTAATCTTGTAGTTGTCTTTTGCGCTAATTTCCCTCGTCTCGTTCCTTGTGACTTTGCTTTTGTGTATACTTGTAATTGAAAATGAGGTCTCTTACACGGCAACATTAGGTGTCTAGATTTAGCAAACCGGCAATATTTTGCAGTTTCTATTGTGGTAGCTTCATGCAGTATTGGCAGTACCACTGTAAAAAGGAAAAAATGGCGGTTGCTTTCCGCTGAATAAAATAATGTTCATATATGTTACGTTATTGGCAGATTTTTTTGTACTTATTTGACAAAAAATAAACATCACTAGTAAAATTCTACATACTTATGTTTTTAAATCTATTTTATAAATTAAAAAATACTAAAAAAAGTTTCACTTGACATTTAAAATAAAGAAACGTTTTTTCCCTCCTCATTTTTATTTGCACAAGAGTTGTTGATGGACACATCAGTAATATAGCCAACTTGTGATCGAATAACACTAATCATAGTTTGTTCTCGTTTTTATGGAGTAAGCACATGATTGAAAGAGTTTATACATTGAAAAATATTTGTTTTAAAAAGAAATTGTAAGAAAATACTTAAAAAACATGGTAATGCAAATGGGTATTAAGACGGAATATATCTCCCGAATTTCATACCTTGTAAAAAATGTCCTAATCATGGTTTCGGTACCAATAACTCATTATTTTATTTAATATTTTTTATAAAATATATTTAAATATTTACTAAAATAATATTAATATATTGATCATGTATGTTAAATTTTAAATAAATAAAATATGACTTCTTAATATATTGAAGAACATATAAAAAATTATTATTATTATTTTCATTCAAAATTATAATATTTAATATTAGTAATGTATTAAATATTAAAATAAAATAATCAATGCTCTATAAGACACGCTTAAGCATGTTTTGGGGGTCTGGGGAAGGCACCATATAGTGCGAGCGTATATGCCAACTTAACGCTTCTTCCCGAAGTTTCGTGTATGCAATCATAGCCAGTTGGCGACAACTTTACACGTGTTATATACGCGCGTGTGTGTGATGCATAAAGTCGCATAAGTAATTCTCAACAAAATAATTAAATGTAATGATGCTATTTTGCGAGTAATTGTCATGCAGATCCTTGCTAACATTTTGCGAACGACAATTTAAGAATGCAACAATGCGTTGCACACACACGTTAATCACTACAATTACATTAATTTTTAACTGGTATCAGCCCGAACTTACATTGAGATTTATTAAATAATATGTTAAAATATCTAAAAATGTCTATATAAAGCTACTTTATACTACTAATATATCGTAGCTTAACTTTTATTCTCTCTCTATATATAAGTAGCATAATTACTTTTAAATTGCTTAAGTCGCAAATATTTTTCGGCCAAAATCAAAATCCGATGAAAACAACTACTATTTCGCTTTTGATTCCATTGACAGTTCTCTCCAAACACGTTAGGTATGGGAATAACAGTATCATCTGATGAGATGTACCTGGCCACGCCACATTACCAATTATATTTTTTGAGTGAACCTGAGATGTGAGAAAGTTAATTTTAGCAGGAATTGATAAATCAAATAAAATAATAAATTTAAGTTTTGGATGCTCATGCACCCTTTCAAATTCTGAAACCGTGAATCTCCTTGTCTCTTTGCTTGCATAAAAAAGCCCAAGAAATATCTGGAGTTAAGCTGCCGAAGAGTATTGCATCCATCTTAAGTATATTAACCAAGTTGACCGAAAAATCAAATAAAAGTATATTAACGAAGTGACAGTTCCAATGATTCATTTGTACCCCTAAAGGCAGAGCACGAGACAATCTTCTGCTCGTTTTGAACATAAATAAGCTTAGTCTTTTGCCCTTTTGGTTATTTATAGGCTTAGTCCATCATGTACTTTTCACGATGATATTCAGCTACATATCAAAATAATCAGGAATTCATAGGAATAAAAAGAGGGTCTTTTTTTCCTTTTTATGTGGTTTTTTTTAAGCTTTTAGGGAAATAAATTTCTCGGCTTAATTTCAAGTTAGCTGAACTAATAACCACCACTTACGAACATAAAAACAAGAGTAACAAAGTGTAATATAATTAAGGTGCAATTAGAAGGTGCTGAAAAACAAAGCCAAAAAAAACAAAAAGAGTGTCGGCTAGGCCCTCAAACTCTCACCCTGCCATGTTACATGCTTACACAAATTATAACTTCGATGTATTATGAATGGGGAGACATTGATGATATGTTGAATGAGTAGTCAAAAAGAAGAAAAGCAAAAGCAAAAAGGTGTGAATGGAAAACAAGTGTCGACAAAAGACTAGTGCATTTTTTTTATATGTATCATGGATAAGTTTTAGTTTAATAGTAATTAAGAAAGCAATATGATTTATTTAATTATTTTATAAAAGCAATTATTATTGTGTTTGATCGTATTGTTCCGTCAGAACAATTATTATTTTAAAAACAAAACAATACAAACAAATTCTTAAAGGTGTTCATATCTTATTTTTAAGTTTTAGCTGTAATACTTGCCTTGTGATAAAAGAGTAGGTGATTTAATGTATATTTAGTTTTTAAAATGATTTAAAAACATTAATTTTAATTATACTTTTTTTATTAAAATATGTATTTTATATTAAAAAATAATTTTTTAACTGGTAAATGAAAAAGAAAAACCTTATTCATAGATGAGGCTGTCAGCTTGTTTCCTCCTTAGTACGGAACACATAATTGAGAAACAAACAAACAAACAAATTATCAATTGCATGTTAGTCAACAAAAAGAAACTACAGTGCTAACTAACATTTTTTTTTTCCAATATCAGATTTTGAAATTTTATCCTTTTTTTACAAATATCTTTAACAATTAAATGAAATATTATTTATGTTTTTAAAATGATAATTTACTTATATATGTATATTATAACATTTATTATTGAATATTTTTTCTATTTTGATTGTTTGACATTTAAATTTTGTATACAATAATTAAAAAAGTAATAAATATCTTAATTAGTATTATAATCTTAATAAACTATTATTGTTATTTATTATTTTATTTGTTAAAAAAATAACTCGCGTCATACTAAACAATAAACACATTCGCTGTATATTTTAGAAAAATATTACATCGAGTAATGTAATCCTTTCCTAATTTAAAATAGATGAAGTAATAAAAATAATATATATATATATGTTACATCGAAACCTTTTAGTTAAATGCATATTTAAGTAATGAAAATCAATACCTTAAAAATAAATTTTAAATTTAAATTTTACAAACCAAAAAAATAGACAACATTTATCCTTAATAGAGTCCATTCTATTTAATACTTGGTTCTATATTCAATTATCTATCATTTAATAAACTTTAGCTTGTTCCGAATGATTTTTTCTTTTAAATAGTAAAGAATGATTACCTATTTTTGCAATGACATGCTTATTTGTCGTTATATATTCAAATATTTTGAAAAAATTATTTATTAAAATATTTTATATATCTTTCTCTTAATAAAGCTTAATTAGATGTAACTGAATTAAATGTGAGTTTAAAGAAATATCTATACAATTTAAATAAAATAAGATCATGATTAATTTAATGCAAAAAGACCAAAATTATTTAAATATTAAATAATTCACTTGCCTAATAAAATTTTAATTAAAAAATATATTCAAATTTAAAAATTAACATAAAATTAAAATAACTTCCACTATTAAATTCACTTATTGAATGATTAAATTAGAAAAATTTTAAATATTGGTTCTCTCTCATTATATAACATGGTTTTTTTGTACACTAAACATTTTTTAAGCATTAGGCCTATTTTTTATGATGTCATGTAATGTTTCTTATTTTAAAATTTGGTCGTAATTAATGATACTTAAGTTGATCTTAAATACTTTTTAATCACTAATTCTCTTTAATTAATGATATTTATTAAAGGTTTATATATTTTTAGAAGACAATAAATATTTTGTTTGCTTTGGGGCCTTTGAAAAATGCAATAAATTAGAGTCAAACAGTAAGTAATACGAATTAATTCGAATAGGCAGAAAAGGGCAAAAGGGCAGTAACAAACCGCTTTTCCTTTTCAATAAACCCACGCGCCTTCTTCTCTGTCACTTTGAAATGCTTCTTCACTGTCACGAATCGTGATTCCAATTTTCATTTCCGCCTCTTTCTCCTCAGCCACCTCGAATCTCGTGCACGTGCTCCTGCACCTGCAGGTGCGTTCCTCTCTCTCTCTCCTCCATACCGCACTGTAGTTCCTTTCTGTTCTTTCCTCGTTTCACTCTGTGTGCGTCTTTTTCTACTCTTCTGTACATTTTCTGTTTAAACCAAGGATTGAGTTACCTGAATTCTAAAATCTATTTGTTTCTTGAAAAAAAACATCTGGTGACAAAAAAAATATCACTGATCACTGTATTCGATCAACGATTTACTTGTTTTAGTTGGCGTTGATATTATTTGACTTTATCGGCTGTTGAATTGCAGTACTTGTTACTTTGCTTTTGTTAAATCAAGTTACAGATTGGATACTTTGAGTTTCTGTTGCATTCAATTTTATACTGTTTACTATGATTGCGGCTGTTACATGAGAAGTGCTCCATTTCGCTGTATTTTTTTGGAGGAAGAGGAAAGGACGTATCCTTGTCAGAGATGTAATTAGATGCTTGTTATTGAGAGAGAATGCAAAGTGCTTTATACTTTTTTAAATTTGATTTTAATTTTTATTGTTTCGATGCTGAAATTTATTTTAATGCTTTCATTTTCTTTCTGTGGTGAAGAGAGTGTGGCCTTTTCTGATCTCGTGCTTTTGATCAGAAACGTGTCATGCTTTAAATTTTTAAGTAGTCAATGCTGCATGTTCAATAGGCAGGGCAGAGTAAACATAAATGGCCGTTCTGAATTTTGTGGCTGAAGTGAATTGCGTGTTCTTCAAACATTTGTGGGAGTTTATGTGAAAATGAGAGATATTTGAGGAGCTAAGACATCTTGCATTGACTCGTGGTTGGGTAATAAATCAGATTGAATAAGGTGTTACCCTTGAGGGGGTTTAAGAGATGTTTGAACCTGACATAGTGTTGAGCTATGTCGAGGATGGATTCTGTATCTTACCAATACGAAGGGGATTGAATCCAGTCCAATGTTATGATCCTACCTATTATAACACTATATATACACACACTTCGTGCTTGTGGAAAAATAAACCATAAATAAGCTATGCATAATAAATTCACCTATGTTAAGATATAAAATTGATATCTCAGATTAATTCTACATCACTGGAAGTGCACATGATAAGATCATTGGGCATAACAACAATGGCAATGGCAGGGATACATAATTATTATATATTTGTCATTCATCAGAATAAGGCACAAGACATAACACTAACAACATGAAAAATAGAACAATGCATTCAAATCATAATCTTCATTGGTTCTGAAAACACTATGCAATGATATTGTCCCTCTGAATTGAGGTGTCTAGCAACCTTCAACAGACATGACTTAGGCTTCGAATATGGGGCCCAGTGGAGGAAACATTGGAGAAAAACTCTTCAGCTTCTAAAGTACATAGTTTTACACAGTATTTGGGTTGGGAATTTTGTTTCTTCTTGGTCCAAGGCTAAACTCCCATACACAAGCATGAACACCTCTAAGATCTACTGCAGAAATACACATCAATTGAATTGGTAGGATGTAATCCCATCTAGACAAGATCGGATTAGAAATGAATGTGTCATTAAAAGAAAAGTTGGGCAAGCACCTATTGTAAGAAATATGGTAGAATCTCGCCATAGGACATGCTTGAAGAGGACACGTAGAAGGTTCAATATGAAAAGTATATCAGATGGAGGGTAGCCCAGTAGCTCAAGGTGGAGAGAGACTTAGAAAAACAGGATTCATGACTGACATTAGGGTGTAAATTAGTCCATGTGGCCGATTCCAATTAGTGAGAAAATGCTTGTTTGTTTTTCTGTTTTGGTAGGATCTAATCCCACCAATGTTCTGTTTTCTTGGGGTCCTTTTATAACAGCATATATATTTGTTCACTGTGACATGTTTTTATTTGTTTTCTACTTCTTTCTGTTTTTCCTCTTGCTGTATAAATTTGTGGTGATTTAATTTTTAACATTTTCCTGGTAACCTTCCTATTTGTCATTTGCAGTAAAAAAATGCCAGAAATTCAGTTGGGTATGCATACAATCAGATCACATGGAGTCAGAGTGGCAAGGATACATATGCATGACTGGTTGATTCTTTTGCTTCTTGTGATCATTGATGCTGTCTTGAACATAATAGATCCGTTTCACCGTTTTGTTGGAGAGGGAATGATGACAGACCTTAGATACCCATTGAAAGATAATACTATTCCCTTTTGGGCTGTTCCAGTATGTTTTGCTTCCTTGAATTTGAGCCTTGAATGAAAATTATTCCATTACTGAGATTATATGTTGTTACCCTTGACTTGATTAAAAGATATAAACCCTTGAATTTCAATTCCTGAACAGATAATAGCAATACTGTTACCGCTGGCTGTCATTCTTGTTTACTATTTCATTCGAAAGGATGTTTATGACTTCCACCATGCTATATTGGGTACATTTCTGAACCTTATAAAGTTTTCCCAATGAGTGGTCTATGTATGGGTTTCAACATGTTTTATGTTTGCTACTGAGAGCCTAACACAACTCTCTTCGAGAATTTGGCTTTTGACTGCATCTAATTTCATTGTGTGATACATGTAACCAATCTTCTTTAGTGATATAAGGCTTTTATTGTTGTTCTATAAAGTTTTCCGTATCCTTCTTATTTGCTCATCATTTTGATCTGCTGTAATTTATTACTCAAATGCATATCAGGCCTTCTATTTTCTGTACTCATTACTGCGGTGATAACTGACGCTATTAAAGATGGTGTTGGACGGCCAAGACCAGATTTCTTCTGGCGTTGTTTCCCTGATGGGAAAGGGGTGGGTGTTCAATTTCATTGACTACCAAGTAGTCTTATTAATATCGTTATCATGTGGTGCATACTGCTTTTATGTAGTTATGTGCTCAATTAACAGGGCATTGGTGCATGACATATTCAGGTGTTTGATTCCGTAACAAGTAATGTTAAGTGTACTGGAGATAAGGGTGTTATTAAGGAAGGACACAAAAGTTTCCCCAGTGGACATACTTCTTGTAAGTAATCTCTACAATCTTAGGGTCTGTAACATTTCCTTTGAGTGGTCTTGTAACCTCTTGATGTCTGTATAAGTGGCAATCTTATAGTATGTCCAGAATAAAGTTGTCGTAGATTATAATAGAATTATCAGCTCGGACATTGTTTTTGATGAGTTAATTTCAAATTAAATTTTTTTTTTACCTCCTTAGGTATTTGGTATGTTTTGAAATATTTAGTGGTGTTTGGTTTTTGTTTTCATTTATTATCACAAAATCACCAAGTTGTTTCTTGTTTACAAGATGTTGGAAAAGAAACAGTGAAAGTTTTTGTTGTTTTCAGTTTTCATCATTTCCTTTGCAAATTCTTGTAAACAGGAAATAAAATAAAAAGCAATGTGACATTTTTATAATTAGTAGTAAAAATATATCAATTGAAAGTGAAAAAAAAAAAAAACAGACACCACCTTAATTTCTCAACTTTTGGAATTTGCCTTCTTTCATGGACAACAAATACGCTTCATAGCATTTGCATTTTTGCGTCATTGGTGTCTTGGGGTTGACCTGTTTCCTTTGTCTGTTTCCATTTTGTAATTTACCATTAGCTATATTAATCACCACAGTATAAGCTCAGAAAGATTCATTTTTTCATGCAGGGTCCTTTGCTGGTCTTGTTTATCTTGCTTGGTATCTATCAGGAAAAATTAGGGTATTTGACCGTAGGGGCCATGTTGCAAAGCTCTGTCTCGTTTTCTCACCAATCCTCATGGCAGCTATGGTTGCTGTCTCCCGTGTTGATGATTATTGGCATCATTGGCAAGATGTGTTTGCTGGAGGACTTATAGGTTTGTTTATCGAAGTCAGATTGATTCAATATTTCCATAAACTATTTTGCAAATTTTCTTATATGTAATTCTTTTATCAGGGACGATAGTTGCTTCCTTTTGTTACCTACAATTCTTTCCACCTCCATATGACATAGATGGTATGTTACCTTCGTCATTTCTTTCTAGTATGTGTTAATATTGTTATTGTGACACATTGCTTTCAATCCTGTCCAAGTCCAGATCAGCCTAGCCACATCCTGTATGGGTCTGAAATTTGAGGCCTTTCATTTTGAGCCTTCGGCCAGGCTCAGGCATCAGGCTTGATCAATATATTCGGTCTGATCTAAATCTAGAAAACACATAATACTATACTTGTATTACTATGATTTTATTAAACTTTTAAACATATAACAAATCTCTTATCTAATTTTTTTAATCTTAAAATAACATTTTTATGCTAAAACAGTGACATTTCTTAATTTTAAAATTATAATTAAAATTTAGTGATTTGGGCTTAGTTCCAAACTAATTGTCAACTAAAAGCCCAGGCTAAGATCAGCTCTTCATGTTGGGGGACATTCCACTTCTCTTTCCTAATTGTAACAGTTTTCAAAGCTTGTAATTGCGAACTTTCTTCCGTAAAGTTGATGGAGTGAGTGAAAATTGTCACTCGATTGACATCTTTGTTTACGCTCCCATGTTTTCCTGTCATTTTCTGACCACGTTAATTTGTATTTGGGTTTTTTTTTTTTTCAAATTAAAGTCACTAATATGGTTTCTAGTTCAGAATTTGAAGATCAATATTCATTCACAATTTTCGTGTGTACGTAGGTTGGGGACCTCATGCATATTTCCAAATGTTGGCTGAATCTCGTAATGGTGCTCAGCCCGCTTCCGTCAATAATGACAGTCATCATGTGCAATCTGCTGAGCTTCAGACTGTATCTATGTATATCCCACCTCAACATGATGGAGATGGACGAGGCAATAGCTGGGATTCAAGCCCTATGTTAGGTGCATCACAGAATGTAAGGACACACTGACTGCCCTAAAGACATAGGAAATATCACATGTCCATAGTCTGTAAAAATTATAGGGGTTTGTGAGTTTCAGTTCCAGATAATCCACCTTAGCATCGTTGGCGGTTAAAAATGCGGATATCAATTGCTTTGGTAATCGGATGGTTGTTGGATTGGGATATCTTGTTACTTAATGTTTTTGGCTAACTTTCATTTGTTAGTTGTCGAAGCGCTGCTTTTATGTCTATTTGTTCAATTTTGATACATTGTTTGTACCATCAACTATTTAAAATATACAGGAAGTATGGTTTTTAAATTAAAAATTATAAAAATTAATAATTCTCTCTAATATGTCATTTTAATTGGATAACGATGTAATTTTCTTAAAAACTTTTAGTATATTCTAATTAAATTTTTGTTATTATATAATGAGAATGATTCAGTAGGTTCAATAGGATCGAAATATACGATTTTCGTCCATGAGAAAAGGGGAATAGAACGAAGAATTTCACCAAACTCCTCCTATTAAGAAAAGGTCCCCAAGAAACTTTCAATATATTTTTTTTTCAGAGCGTATTTCTGTTTTATGTGATGTTCTATCGATTTTCAAAGAGAAAGCTATTTCACTTTCTTGCAATATTCGCAAACATAAAGTAATAGGGTAAAAAGAAAGAATTAAAGTAATGAATAATGTGATGAGAAAAATAAGAGTATAAAATCTATAGTGAAAAATTGCCTTTTTTATCTTAAAAAAGCTAAGGCAATGTGTAGTAAAAACAAAATAAGAAGTTAGGGAAACATTTTTTAAGAGTAGTGCATTAAATTAGTTTTTAAAATTACGAGTATTAGTTAATATAATTTTTAAAATTATAAAAAAATACCACTTTATTTTCTAAAGGTTAGCAATGATTATTTCAGTTTATAAAATTATAAAATAACAATAATTTTCATCTTTAATATTATAATAATAAAGAAAATAATCTATATTTGATATTTTCAAGAATTAAAATAATTTTTATAATTTTAAAGATCAAATCAATTCATAAATTTTTATTTAGATCACAATATTCTTTGTAGCCAACTATTTGTTCGAATCGAGAACTTTCATTTCGTAGTATGATGAAGTTAACTCTCTTAAAAGAGATTTTTTCTATTCCGCATTTGACTAGAAACATTCAAATGGTCACATCGTAAGACTATAACGTTGATTATCCTATCATCAAAAGTTTGACGTTAAGCATATGATTGATGTTTACAGTTTAGACTGGATTTTTAGTTTGTATTTTGTTGAATTTATTTCGTAACTATAATAAAATTTAAAAATAAGTAATTATTTATTAAAAATAAATTGTTCTAAATATGCATTTTATTTTAGTATTTAAAATTATATGAATTATCGTACAATTTTTTAAAATGTAGTTATTATATTAATCTGTCAAAAGTTTAAAGTATCATTACATGTACACAAGTGTTTTAAAATTTCGTTATTATTGAAAATGGAAGACTACAGTAGAATAAAAAAAAGAGAGACTAATTTAATAACAAAATATTTGAAAAAGATTCAAATGGTGTCAAAATTCTTCTCACGAGAATATTCAAAGCAAGAAAAATAAAATGAATCCAAAAAACAAATCCCAGTCAGGATTTGAGAAGCATAATTGATGAATATTCTTCGTTGTTAGGAAAGTTTTTGCCCATGATAGAGAATGTTCGGGGCTTATTTTTAAGAAATGAGTTGGTTGTTCTCACTTTTTGTGTTGATATTTTTTTTTTTTTGATAAAATGGGAATATGTTATTATTTGATTATAAAATTGCATTAAAGAAAAAAGAAAAGCTATATCATTAGTTTAATTCTCTAATTTATTTATTTGTTTCAGTTTATCATTTAATCTTTATTTATTTTACTTTGATCTCTAATTTTAATATTCAACATTTTTTTAAACTCTACTCTACTGGGTTCTCTACATCACGTGGGTTAAACAGCATTCGAGTAGCATTCCGCTTTTTACAATGATTCAAAGCTTTGAAAATTTAATCTCTTCATGCAATTCTTATACAAAATCAAGGACTAGGAACAAATCCTAAGAGAAATTTGTTCTCCTTTTTATTTTGGACGTGAAGAGATATTTCTGATTCTATGCACTTTGATGATGAAGTGGCACTTCAAAAAATCTGTGCACATCGAAAAAGAAGAAGAAGAAGAAGCAAAACCTATGGGTGCGCCAATGGTACTTTGGGTTTTTGGGGCCGATTTCTTTAAATTAATTATTTGTGCTGTTTATTCAAAAACATTCAAGAAACATCATATTATTTGTTTCATTCATATATATAAAGCAAGCACAAAATAAAAATGGCTCGTTGAAGTTAAGGACAAAGGACTTGGTTGTTGATAATGGTGATCGAATGGGCTTACAAATTAACGACGGTCGTGGGATGTGAGTTAGAGCTTTAAATGGCATCAGCTCTGTGAGAAATTAAGAAAGTTGGGACTTATGCTAAGGATGGAGAAAGGAAACCATATGACCAAAAGTTAAGGCTTTTAATCAGTAATCATTCTAACATTTTATATATAAAAAAATGATTGTCTCGAGAGCCGGCCATGAATGGATTTGACTTTGACTTGATTAGATAGACGACAAAAGATGAAAGAAGGGAAAAAATGGTTACATGAACATAATACGAAAACCAAAACACTTTGACTCTCTTGTTGTATTTCTTCATGGACTCTGCTTCGGAAAACACGACACTCCCATCTCATGTGGTTACAGTTAGAAATGGCGATTCTTCTTCACTTGATTCTGGCCATGCCCGTCTTCTTCAACTTGGTTACAAACAAGAACTCAAGCGTGATCTTTCGTAAAGTTCTTTCCTTCTATTGTGTTTCTTAGTTTTTAATTTCACTTCCAATTTTGGGTTCGTTGTCACTTGCAGGGCCATTTCAAATTTCGCACTCTCGTTTTCTTTAATATCAGTGCTCACTGGTATCACCACCCTTTACAACACTGGGTTGAACTATGGTGGCCCTGTTTCAATGCAATACGGGTGGTTTTTAGCTTCTACTTTCACCATGTTTGTTGCACTGTCAATGGCTGAAATTTGTTCAGCATATCCAACTTCTGGTGGTCTTTACTATTGGAGTGCCAAGCTTGCTGGCCCTGGATGGGCACCCTTTGCCTCTTGGATCACTGGCTGGTATTAATTATTTGTATCCTCAATCACATTAATATCTTGATCTTGCAAGGGTAAGAAATTAAAAGTGAAAAAATTTAATTTAAAATATTAAAAGTGTATTAATGATATTTTCTTACAAAACTTCACGTATAATTTTTTATTCAGTTCCTTAAAGGTATTCGTTGGCATATTTGCCTTAACATGTTATTGTCTATTTTCTTGGTTTACAGTTGTCTTATAAGCATCTGTGATTTCTATAATGCATACTCACTATTGTTATTTAATATATTTCGCTCTTGCATTTATGTAACACGTAGGCCTCGTTGTATTGCTATAGGTACCGTGTAATATCTTTTTCCTTCATCTTCATATTTGTTTTTTTCTTTCACCTTCCGTTTTCTCTTTACTACTCAATTAAATTATGTACACTGTTCATGCAGGTTCTTGAAAATGCTTTTAATCAGCATGCACTATTTCTTATGTATAACATGGTTACAAATATCTAATTATGTAGATTTACCTAAAGCCTAGTACCTTGAAACTTAAGCTAATTGCTTGATGAACACTTCAAGTCTACTGACAAGATGCACAGACATATTAGCTTTCCTATGGCCATTTCTCTGACGTGTGTTGCATGGTCTTTTCTTGCAGGTTCAATATTATTGGCCAGGTATTCTTGAGAAGTCACATGTTCTAGAATTTTAGCATCCTTCACTTTTCACTGCGTGGTCAAACTTGTGTGCGATGTAGATTTCTAACAATCCATTTTGAAGCTCTAATTTTTGTTCTTTTTACTTGCAGTGGGCAGGGACAACAAGTGTAGATTTTTCACTTGCACAACTAATTCAGGTTATCATTCTCCTTAGTACTGGTGGGAAAAATGGTGGTGGATATATGGCATCTAAATATGTAGTTATTGCTTTTCATGGGAGGATCTTGCTCCTGCACGGTATAATAAACACCCTTCCTGTCTCTCTGATAGCATTCTTGGGACGGTTAGGTGCCATCTGGAATGTTGTAGGTATGAAGAAATTTCCTATTTGATTTTTCTTTTCTAAACTCTTTTTGAATATCTAATTTGAATTGAGAAATATTTAGGAGTTTTCGTCCTTATGATTCTCATTCCATCTGTTGCAACCGAAAGGGCTAGTATAGAGTTTGTTTTCACTCATTTCAATGCTAAAAATGAGGATGGAATCAATAGCAGACCCTACATATTTCTCTTGGGACTTCTAATGAGTCAGTATACCCTTGCTGGGTATGATGCATCAGCTCATATGGTAAATCTTTTAGAAATTTCCTTTTCAGTATACCCTTGTTCTTGCTTTCCACTTTGTAAATTTTGTGCTACTTATTTATGTCTATTGATAGAGAAGTTATTCAATGATTTTAGACCAAGATTTCCTCTTTACTACAAACTTGCATTTGCAGACAGAGGAAACAAAAAGTGCTGATAGAAATGGACCAAAAGGAATTATCAGCGCTGTTGGGATATCCATTATTGTTGGATGGGGTTACATACTAGGCATTACCTTTGCAGTTACTGACATCCCTTACCTTTTGAGTGAAAATAATGATGCTGGTGGGTATGCCATTGCTGAAATATTTTATCTTGCATTCAAGAAAAGATATGGCAATGGAATTGGGGGTATTATTTGCTTGGTAATTGTTGCTGTTGCCGTGTTTTTTTGTGGTATGACTTCAGTCACAAGCAATTCAAGGTAACATAATATTGAAGTTCTGATATTTGAACAATTAAAAATTGACACGTATGACATTATTATTATTATTTCTCACTCATTTCTTATTTTTTAAAATACACACCAAAAGAAAAAGTAACCCAAAATTGTTCAAGAAAATATTTTGAATTATATATTACCTGATGGTAGTGCACTTTCCATATGATAGAGGTTTAATTTGTGTAGTTACTTACGATGCTTGAACTTTGTACAGGATGGCTTATGCTTTCTCAAGAGATGGGGCATTGCCACTATCGCCATTGTGGCGTGAAGTTAACGTGCATGAGGTTCCCACATATGCAGTTTGGCTTTCCGTTTTTATATCATTTTGCATGGCACTAACGGTATGCATTTCCCTGTATTATTTCATCTTAAAACGCTGCAATATTTATTACACCTTTCCATTTTTGTATATAATTTAAAATGCTAACACATTCTTTAATATACTATTCTTAATATATGTTTAATTATTAATTAAAATTTATTAAAAATTACAAAAATTATGAGTCTGACTCTTTTTCATTCTAAAGTTAATATTTTTCTTTTATATTTTTATAATCTGTAAAAAATTATAACCAATACAATGTGTTAAGAGAGTATGTGTTGTTATCATTGGTCCATACTCAAATTCTAAATCTACTGCAGTCTCTAGGAAGTACTGTGGCATTTGAAGCTATGGTGTCCATATCGGTGATTGACCTCTATGTTGCTTATGCCTTACCAATCTTCTTTAGAGTGACCTTAGCACAGAAGCATTTCGTTCCTGGGCCTTTCAACTTGGGCCGTTACGGATTCACTATGGGCTGGGCTGCAGTTCTTTGGGTGATTATTATCTCTGTACTTTTCTCATTGCCTGTGTCCTACCCAATAACCATTGAGACTCTTAACTACACCCCTGTTGCTGTTGGGTGTTCGCTTATTTTTGTAGTTTCTTACTGGATATTCAGTGCTCGGCATTGGTTTAAAGGCCCTATAACCAATGTGAAAAACTGAAGTTATGTACTTAATTTAGTACATTATCATGAGTACTTCTAGTATTGTTATTCAATCAAAGACTTGTGATTGCCTATAGCCCCATAAGGGACTGAGAAACTTATTGAAAATTATTTGCAGAATATATTATTGAAATTAAGATTAGCATCTGTATTTATATGATCAGTCGTTTATCTGTGCTAATGAAATCATTGGCATGACATGACATGACATGCCAAGCCTTGAGTTATTCACGGATGCATAATGAAGATTTGTACGTGCTGGCTGAATCGTAATGGCACTTCTACCAACAATGAAAATCTGCAACATCAGACTGTATCTTTGTCCCACCTCAACATTATGGAATTCAAGCCCCATGTTGGACGGTTCACTAAATGCAGACACCCCAAATGTACCTTTCTTTGAAAGATAGCTCAAATTGATTTAAATTATTAGTATCATTATTTCTATTAAAAAAAATTGACTGGTAAAACAAACTCTTTCAAATAAAAGTATTTTAAGCACTGTTTCCTACTTATTAATCAAAATTTAAATTTTATCATGATAATTTATAACTATATTAAATATAAATACCTTATCAAAATAAAATTATCATTTTAATTGCTAAATAGTTCCAGCAGATAAAGAACAGGTTCTTTTGCTTTCTCTGGCCTCCCAACAAAATTGGTGCTGGATAAATATGAAACACATATATGGGGAATTATTTTTTTCATAATCTTAAATAATATTTAAAAAAAAAAAGAGTGTTTAGAACTGTATAATTGCGGCCTATTAAAAAATTCTTCGTATATGACGAATTTTCGCGGCTTAAATCTTGTTATGGATAAGTTTTTTTTTTTTATTACTTTTTTAGCTTAAATCTCACTATTAACATATTTTGATCGATTTTCATATTTTAGTATTTTCTCGTAAAATGCCATATCTTGATATATTTAATTACCAAATTCCATAATTAAATGCACACATAGCGATAAATAATAATTTTGCGGCATCGAATCCACGTGGTTGAATTTTAATAGGAGATTCTTACAACAAAAAAGCAAACGTTACCTAGAAGTTAGGTAGTGGTATCCACAACCCATTTATATTAGAAGTTTAGGTTGACGTGTTTGTTGTAAAAATAATTATTTAACTATTTTAATAATGCAAGCCTGCGTAATAATCCAAGTTACATTTAACCGTTAAATCATTCAATTTTTTTATACTTTAAAACATAAGTGAGTTATTCTTTAATTTAATTTAACATATTTTTTTAATATTTTTATTATTTTGTATTAATATTTCTTAAAGTACTTAATTAAAAAGACCTAAATTTAATTTGAAGAAATTCACTTCAGTCTCAATGTTTGAGTTTTCAATTCAACGGTACCTACTACGCACGAGTTACAGCACGAGGCACGGAAAATAAACTGCACGTGGTGAACAATAATAACACAATATATACTGTTTGAGAGGGAATTAATTTAAATTGTTATAAATCAAAATATTTTTATATCATTTAATATTTTTATCAGATAGTTATTTTATAAATCTCACCATTGAATTTAAACGTCATATTATATAAATTATATATACAAAATATTAAATTAAAATTATTTAGTAGTTCAGTTATATAAATCAAGGTTAACGATATACGTTTTTTTATTTATACAAAATATATTTAGTTATATTATAATTTTTATAAATTTTGACAAAAAAATCCAATAATAAATATTTATAATTTAACAATTAATTATAAATTTTCATTTTTATATAAAACTAGTAATAGAAAATATTAAATTATGGAGCAGTGTAAAATAATTTCTTTTTATATATGTGTTATTTTTCTATTTATTTTTGTTTAGACTCGTTTTATTTTTTTCCTAAGACCAGGGTATATTATTTCAAATCAACTGGACAAAGCGTATGAGCATATATGCGATGTATAGAAGTTACCACATCGCATAATTAGTAACTTTTTCCAACAAATTCTCCATTTTGCTTCTCATTTTCACGAAAATCTGGTAACAAATGTGAAATAAAATACTATTAAATACCCATTAGGAGCATATATGTCTTAATATTTTAATATTCATATTTTGACAACAAATATTATTTGGGTAGCAGGTTCAAAACGTATTATTGCTAATTGCATATACTACGGTTTTACCATTTTCATTTTCATTATAACATTTATTTATTATTAGATGTCTTTTTGATAGGTCCAAAGAAATTGTTGACTAGACACTTGCAATAAATACAATGAGTTTGAAGTTGAAGTTGAAGACGAAGAATGATGTAATTATAAAGACAACTTAAAATAATCATTTAAGAAGAGATTTGTACAAAGAGGTAAACAAATAAAATGAAAGACAAAACATATTATAAGAAATTGAACATCAACAATTTGTATCTTAGAACTTACTTAAATAAATTTGTAATTGGTAACAACGAATACTCACGATATCTATAAGAATCTATAATTTTAATTTCTTTAATTGACATTCAAGATGCTGAGTATCAAATTGATAAATGTTAATGGCTACCACGCAAGATGCTAGTTGAACAGCCTTTTTTGATTTGGTCAAAGTGATCAAAGTTTTATGACTACGTTTCCTTGCTTATCAAAATGCATTTTTTTAAATATTAATAGTAATATTAAGATAATTTTTTAACAATTAAAAGTAACTGTTTTATATTAAAAATACAATCAATATTATTTTATTAAAAAATTACAATGTTTATGATTAGTCAATTCATATAACTTTTTTTTAATCTTCTTAGCTATGACTTAGACGAAAACCAAAACGACAGAGATTTGCACTTCAATAAAAAAAATTCTGAAAAGGATTTTTTTATTGATCTTTGTCACATAATATATTTTAATGATCGAAACTGGATTGTAAAATAAATTAAAAAAATCAAACGTATAAGTAAGTCATAATTTGTGTAGATAACTTCGTTCCCTACGTTTTAACGTATTCATCAATCGACACAAATTAATACGAATCACAGAAATCAAATAAAAAAATTAAATTAAAATCAAACAAACTAAATTCATAAAACAAAAATTAATTTGACTTTTGAATCTCATTTTCAGAAAAAGCTGATCCAATCCAAAGTAAATTTATATTTATATATTTAATTTTATTTATAAAATTAATATCTCATATTTTTATATTATATATTAATAAAATACAATACTTAATTCTTTTAATGATTTTTTAAAGGCTGCGGTTTTATTTTAAAATTACAATATATCATATTATTTTTAGGAGTATGTTTTATTGTTTTGTTCGATGTAAGATAAATCATTGAAGTAATATAAATTGTCTTAATAAGATATTTTTTGATATACAGATCAAAATTAAATTATTTATCAATTATTATGTCAAATAAATAGCTGTTAACATTTATTATGAGATGTCCTTTAGGCGAATCCAGAAAACGATATTTTTTCCAGCGAACTTTTCTAAAAAACATGAAAAGAAATAAAATTGGAAATTCGATTTTTCTCGACAAATTCAGTGCAAATTTAACTGTCAAAATAAATAGCAAATAGCATCAAAACTCACGTCAGTGTACAGTAGTTTTGAAAAGCTTAACTAAACAAAGTGTTTACTTTGTGATCAAATTTAAGCAACGCATCAACGTGGAGATAAATTATACAATAAAAAATGTAAATGGAAAATAAAAGAAAATGATGGGAGGAAAAGACAAGTAGGAAGAGACAAGTTATCTTGTGTTTATGTTTGACAAAAACAACACTTTCACATTTTGCAACTCTGTCATCTGTGACAAAAAACACCTTCTCCTCTTTCGACTCTGAAGCTACCATTGACCTTTGGGGTTCGTTCTCTTGCTCCTTCTATATACCAAGAGACGAGTCCCTGTGTTTGCATTCATCATCATGGTCTCTGGCAGAGAAAACACCACACTCCCTTCTCATGTGGTCGCAAATGGACACGCTCCACTTGATTCTGGCCATGCCCGTCTTCGAGAACTCGGTTACAAACAAGAGCTCAAGCGTGATCTCTCGTAAAGTTCCTTCCTTTTTTTTCTTTTTCACTCTCTTGTTTGTTTCTCGTTTTTTAGATTCATTGAATTTTCTTAAAATTTCAGTATTCAAATCAAGTAATATTTCATTAAAAAAATATGTATCTATTATATTTTTATATTTTTAATATAATAAATATATTTTTGTAGTAAAAAACTATTGCTCTTTATCTTTAGATTCTGCTTTTAAGAGTAGAAATTCACAAAATGGATTTGGTTTTGGCAGGGTGATATCAAATTTCGCGTTTTCGTTTTCAATTATATCAGTGCTGACGGGAGTGACGACCCTTTACAACACAGGGTTGAATTATGGTGGACCTATTTCATTCGTGTATGGGTGGTTCATAGCTTCTGCATTCACCATGATTGTTGCGCTCTCAATGGCTGAAATTTGTTCATCATATCCAACTTCTGGGGGGCTTTACTATTGGAGTGCCAAACTTGCTGGACCTGGTTGGGCACCCTTTGCTTCCTGGATTACTGGCTGGTTTGTACCCTGCCCATCTTCCTTTTTCTACGTTGTTTTTAAATACTTCTACAATCCTATTTCATTCATGTCAGAGAAAATAAAAAGCTTCTTCAACTAAATCATTAATGGTCCGAATTTAGATTCCCAATGCAAAGTGTATTGTTTTTGTCTGAATTCCCAACACCACACACATTGCATTTGCTTTGTGGCTGACACGAATCAATCACAATCACAAACCGACAATATCTATGCATACACAATTATTAAGCAGTATGTTAAAGAATATATATTTTTTTTTTTATATTAGTAGTATTTTTTAATATTTTTATTCGTTAACTAATATATTATAAATGCTAATTAAATTTGCCTAATTATTCTTTATCTAGTACAGACATCACACTCTTCTCTTCTTTGTTACTTTCCATTTTAACACCGTGTCACTTATTTTAAGTTCACATTGAGTTCGCATCTATCTTTTGACTTGAAATCGGAGATGCATTCCGTCCAGAATCAATGCATATTTGAGTTGTTGTGTTGACCTGTCATGGGAACCAAATACTGATTAAAATTTTCTATATTGATATGAATGCTTTTGGATTCGTTTCTAGTTAGTGTTCCGTAAGGGATGAAGATACCTCAGAATGGTGTGCATATGATACTATATTCGGAAATACTTTCACCCACCATTATTCAAATATATAATTGATATATCCTTTTAATACGAATAAATATATATTGGTCCTCCAAAAATATTATTTTTCTTGCAATAATCTCCAAAAGTTTTCATTTGTACATATTGTTCACTAAAGTTTTCGTCACACTTATTCTCAGTACAGATGAGTATATTTGGTCTTCGAAAAATGTTATTTTTGTCTATACAAGTCGATCCTTAAAGTTATCAATTAGAAAATATCTTCACATTGCCAAATTTGTTAATTAACCATAAAATTGTATATCTATTTTAATGTTTAAGAAAATTTAATTAAAAAATATTTATTTTGAAAATTTAAAATATATTTTGCACTTTCTTCATTTAATAACTAAAAAAAGATAAAGAAAATGCAAGTGACATCTATTTAGGTGCAATTTTTAATACGTAATTCCCTTTTATTTTATACCTTATCAATTATCACTGTCACACTATGGTTCCTCCTTGTTAATATTTTCATATAAAAGTTTCTCGTATGCATAATTCAAGATATGCTAAGTAGTAGCTATAAATGCCGGACTATGCACATAAAAGGAGGTAACATCATCCGTTTTATGGGCAATTTTCTAATAACGTGTTGGCCGTGTCTTAATTTGCAAGACTACCATCTATTTGTTATGAGCATGGAATTTTTAAGTTTATACGAGGACCTTATGTGGGCCTGATTGGATTAAAATTTTTTGAAGTGCCATTCTCCCCTTTGTTGGTAATGTAAGAGATGAGCCTTCCAAGCAATCTGGTAAATCAAAAAGCCACATCAATCACGAACATTCACTGAGCATTTTGAATAACAATTTGGAGATTATTTCAGAGACTTAGTCATAACCAATTAGGAGATGGAATTTCTGTTAACTTGCAAAATCGACAGTTTTAATTAATGATATGGCACATAATTTTGAAGTATTACTTCCCTTTATTTTTACTTATCCATTTTATAATGTAAAATATTCAATCAGGCTTTTGAAAACTTAATGCTCTTAACCAGCATACAATAAAACATGTACATTTGCTTTCTCATAGTCATTTCTCTGATGCGTGTTGATTGTTTTCTCTTTTTTGGCAGGTTCAACATTGTTGGCCAGGTATTTTCAAGAAGACAGTGGACAAATACTCTTAAATTTCAACATCCTTCACTTTTCACAGCAAGGTCAAACTTGTGTGGGATGTAGATTTCTGATAATCCATTTGGGGGGTCTAACTTGGTTTCTTTTGATTTGCAGTGGGCAGTGACAACAAGTGTAGATTTTTCACTTGCAGAACTAATTCAGGTTATTATTCTCCTTAGTACTGGTGGGGCAAATGGTGGTGGATATATGGCATCTAAATATGTAGTTATTGCTTTTCATGGAGGTATTTTGTTCCTCCACGGTATAATAAACAGCCTTCCTATCTCATTGTTATCATTCTTAGGACAGTTGGCTGCTATCTGGAATGTTATAGGTATCAATAAATTTCCTATTTGATTTGATTACTTTCTGAATTCCGTTCTCATGGAAAAACCCTTTTGAATCTCTAATTGGAATTTTGTAAATTTTTAGGTGTTTTTGTACTTATGATTGTGATTCCATGTGTTGCAACGGAAAGGGCCAGTGCCAAGTTTGTTTTCACTCATTTCAATACTGAAAATGGGGATGGAATCAGCAGCAGACCCTACATATTTCTCTTGGGACTTTTAATGAGTCAGTACACCCTAACTGGGTTTGATGCATCAGCTCATATGGTAAATCTCTTATCCTTTTTCCTTTCTTTTCTAAAAGTTTATTTCCTTGAAAAGCTTTTAGAAACTTCCTTGTCTTGTAAATTATAAACTATACACTTCTTTTGCTTGATCTCTCCCCTTAGAGCGATTCTCAAAAAGAATCATGCACTGTTGATCCTGTGGTTCTTCTTATCAGCTTAAACCTTGGGACTGCCATTCCAGGATTAGATAATTCCAGATGAATTAAGATTTTGTACCTGTTCAGCATGTGATACAAACATAATGAACTGTGTTATAAGACATCACTATAAGAAAAATTAAACTGCAATTACTGCACAATGAATTTGGGGGTAACATTTTTCTTTGCATATTTTACTAGTTGGGGATCTTGGATTCAGGATCTGTGAGATAACGAGATTAAAAACACTACCATTGTCCAATCTTGAAGGACCCCTCTGATCACCCGGTCTAGATGTAGTAACATGAAAATTGGTGCGTTGTAATTGATTTTTATAATGAATTAATTAATTCGTAGGATCTCTGTTAATAACCTCAATTTAAGTATTGGGAATTACCAAGTTTCTTTTGCCTTTTCTATTTTGAAAATTTTGCACTCTTCATTTCCGTTGATGGGTTGAAGTTACTAAATGAAGTAAACTAAGATTTGTTGTGTACTGCAACTTGTATTTGCAGACAGAGGAAACAAAAGATGCAGATAGAAATGGACCCAAAGGAATTATCAGTGCTGTTGGGATATCCATTATCGTTGGATGGGGATACATACTAGGCATTACCTTTGCAGTTACTGACATCCCTTACCTTTTGAGTGAAAATAATGATGCTGGTGGGTATGCCATTGCTGAAATATTTTATCTTGCATTCAAGAAAAGATATGGCCATGGAGCTGGGGGTATTCTTTGCTTAGTAATTGTTGCTGTTGCCATATTTTTCTGTGGTATGAGTTCAGTTACAAGCAATTCAAGGTAAACTGCACCTGCTCTTAGTGGTTTTCTATATGAGAGAGGTTTAATTTATCTAGTTACTTATAGATGCTTAAATTTGGTAAAGGATGGCTTATGCTTTCTCAAGAGATGGGGCCATGCCATTGTCATCATTGTGGCACAAAGTTAACAAGCAAGAGGTTCCCATATATGCAGTTTGGCTTTCCGTTTGTGTATCATTTTGCATGGCCTTAACGGTATGTATTCTGTGGTAAGATTTCATTTTTAATATAATGCAAATTAAGTATTCTGTGTGTTTTTTTAACCATTTTTTTAACATGTTATATATAGTAATTTTTTATTAAAAAATACAAACTTCAATATGATTAAATATATTAATACTATTAAATAATATAATTTTTTATGTCGTGCAATGTTATGCAGATTAAAAAAGTAATTCTTTTAATGAATGACGTACCATGTTTCTTTTCACGACTATGACTCAATTGTTATTTGTTACTTAACTGCAGTCTCTTGGAAGCATAGTGGCATTTGAGGCCATGGTGTCCATAGCAACGATTGGTCTCTATATTGCTTATGCGTTACCTATATTCTTTAGGGTAACCCTGGCACAGAAGCATTTTGTCCCTGGGCCTTTCAATTTGGGCCGATACGGAGTCATTGTGGGCTGGGTTGCTGTTCTTTGGGTTCTGACCATCTCCATCCTCTTCTCATTGCCTGTTTCATACCCAATAACCATAGAGACACTTAACTACACCCCTGTGGCCGTTGGATGTTTGCTAATTCTTGTAGTTTCTTACTGGATAATCAGTGGTCGGCTTTGGTTTAAAGGCCCAATAACCAATATATAAAATAGAAGTTGTGTAACTTTTATTGGATCCAACTCGGTTTGAATATGATTATTTTTTTAACCCGTTGTTTCCATTTCTTACGTATAAACTTTTCCCTCCCTAAGGTAGAGTTTGATGATTTTGAAAACGGGATTTGAAATACTTTCTACTCGCCTAAGCTAAGATACATGTCAATCTTTGTGTGCTGCTGATTAGATTAGATTAGATTAGCTTTGGTGTTGGGCTGTGTTCTCCGGCCTTTTTGTTAGATCTGGTGGACTGTTTGTCCTCCTCCTTGTTATAATCTTAAAAAACTATATTTTTTTTTCTTTCTTAAGAATTGGATTTTAATTTAATTTTTAATAAAAATTGGAAACCATTTTAAGCTGGATTATAATTATAAAAAGTGCTTTTACTTTGAAAAATAATTTAAAATTGTTTGAATATAACAATACAATAGTTATTTTTTTTAAAAAGGAATTGTGTATATATATATATATGTCTATTTACGTATGTATGTATACATACTAGCAAAACACTTTTTTGAACATATTATTCAATAGACTTCTTATGATTTATAATTTTTTAAATATTCAAAATGCTTACCTAAAATACTAATCACTACAAAATTATTTTAACTTTTTAAGAAGTTGTGCATCTACTAAAGTGTGTTGAAGAGTATATTTTAAAATAATTTAAAAAATATTCATTGCTTTGTATAAATTTTAAAATATAAAATAAGCGTTTAAAGTTATAAAAATTGTACACTTATTTGATAAAAAAAAAAAATACAATATGTACAGCTCATTAAGATAATATAAATCAAGAAATTATATAATTTATAAGAAGATATGATCAGTGATACATAACACTACAAAAAAAATTTACTAATAACTTAATGTTAGATTAATTTTTATTAGTATTTTTAAAAAAATAAAACTATTAATATAGAAATTATGAATTTATACTAATAACATGATATATTATACAAATAAATAATTATTAATATAAAGCTAATAAATAAATTTTTTGAAGATTTACATTTGGATTTTTGGGTCAGGGAAAATTTACCATAAAAGCCTTTCTTTACTGATCGCATTTAAATGTTAATTCTACAATAAATTTTTATAATTTTTTGAATAAATTATAGAGAGATAATTAAGAAAAAAAGATAAAGATAATTGATAAATGGGTGACAGGATGAAAAGAGACAGAGAAAAATGTACTATTATAAAAATTTGTTGTAAATTTTATGAATAAAATATAATCTCATTCCAGCCGAACCCAGGTTGTTAAGGTGCATTGAACTGGCAATTACTACATCACGATAGTTAATGCAGACTTGTCTATCAATCAATATTCATGATTTAATGTACGTATTCCGTTAACAAATAATAGTTATTTATTATATTTGCTTTTAGCATCAAATATTACACAGTCAAGCCTCGCAGAATCTTGTCTATTTAAGAGAAGAATACAGGTCAATATTTACACAAAATTATGTATCTAATATTGTACCTGTCACGTTCCAACATCTTGAAAGAAACCTCTATAAATATACTCAATAAATTTACGAAGCACATAAGATAATTAATTAATTTCTGTTACTGAAAAATAAAAGAAAACATACATTTTCCATGTAAGTTGAACTTCTATTCAACCAATGTCGACGAGAGGGAACCGTTAAGGGGCCTCAAACAGAATTGCTACATGTTATACAAAGGTTTTCATTTGCTCGGAACACGCTTCCACTTGAAGGTTCATTCAATCCTGCAACTGCTAGTACTTCGAACCAAAAAGAAAAAAGAAAGAAAATTTATATCTCACTGTCGCACAAAAAAAATTGCACCAATTATGATTGTAACAATGATGAGAAAATACTCATCTATCTCTAGATATGCTTTCATATATTGGTCTCATGATAATATTTGGAATATGACAAAGCCATAAAGGAACAAACCTTATGATCTCATGGGATCTTCGGAGTGGAACTGTTCCCATCTAAAACTGTCTTTAGCATCTCACAGTATTGGTCAACATCACCAGGATCAGTTCCATTTTCAATCAAATCAAAACTTTCAGAGTCCTCCACGAGCATTTTTATGATATCATTGTATTCAGTAGCAGGTTGGTTTTGATCCATTGAAGAATCTAAAGTTCGGTTTTCAGTTGGAAATGTTGAATTCTCTGGAGTTTCAAGCTCTTTGAGAGACAGGTTTTGCTCATGGCTCTCATTCGAGGAAGCAGTTGGTGTTCGGAGACCTGGATCAAATACCATCTTATGTTCTAAAGCAATGAATGAATTAAAAATGCTAATTTTCCATCTAAGATACCAAAGGGTGTTTATGTTATATAGTACTACCTTTTGTTCCTAAGCTGGACACTTCAGATGGTGAAGGCAACGGTGCTTTGTGGCTTGAGTTTGATGATATTGACGTGCTTACTGGGTGCAACTCAGAAAAGCGAGCATTCTCTATGCGCTTCAACCGCAATTTGTGTTTCTGTGTGGGAAGAACAATGGTGAAGCAAAAGGCTCAACAATAATGCATGCTGGTCATTGCCATTCAAATAAGAATATCAAGAATGCAACTACAGTAATGGAAAAAGCGCAAACGAAGTAACAGCATAATGATAATTAGCTTCTTTCGGGCCAAGTTACATTTAAGTAAGATTTTCGTAGCATAATTTTCTACGTCGATGTTCTATTAAACTACTAATATTACTGATAAGTATATTTTTTTTCTAAATTAAACACATAATTTACTTAGTAGATTCATGGAGGAAGGCAGAAAATATTTAATTATAGCAGGTTATAAAGTAAACACGCCAATAAACATACACAAACGGGTAATGGTTAAACAAAATATTTGTGGAGCATGTTGCCCCGATAACTTCGACACTTACATATTAATGCATGTCTGGATTTTTTTTTAAAAGAAAAATAAACTAATGTTGGCTAATCCTTTTAATACAACTTTTTCATTTATTTTTCAAAAAATAATTATTTTTCATAATTAAGCTATTCCCAAACACTAACTTGTGCAACACAAATTATCAGAAATGAATTTAAATCTTTTCATTTTTACTAAGTAACATGATAGATTTTTTTATTGGAGAAAGAATGATAATTATTTTTATCAAATAAAGATTCACTTTTATTATTTATAGGTCTCACTAATTAAAGCCAATAAAAATATATCTTTCTCCATTCAACATGATATTTAATAACTTGAGAAGATTAAAATCTTTTAAAAAAAATATTAAAATATCAACAACAGTCTCTAGTAAAGCAATTTTTAGTATTAAGCAATTGTATAAATAAAAGTTCAACAAATTGAGAAGAGTCACTTAAGGCATGTTTGTATCCAAAACTTAACTTTGCTTTTACATAAACGAAATTTTTTCACTTCTCACAAAACCGGCCTCTTAAAATATGTAAACATAGTTTTGAGTAATAAATAAATAGGTGGTTATATGTTAGCTATAGAAGTGGTTCTCTATATAAGTAACGGTTGTGTGAGAAAAGTGGAGTCCCTCATATGCTAGCAATTAATACAAACAATATATTTAATTTTTTTAACAAAAGACCAAAATTTTAATAATAAAGTCAAATATATTAGACAAGTACAACTTTTAAATAAATATCGATGAGATATAAATATGCGGAAAATTTTGAGTCCCTCTTATGCTATCAATCAATAAAGCAATAGAATTATATTTAACAAATTAAAGACTGAATTTAACAACAAAGTCAAATGTATTCGACACCTATAACTTTTAAATAAACGTAGATGAAATATAAATACGTGAAATAATTTATGGGTCCTATTTCGTAAATTTTTTGAGTTGCACCGTTGGAGAGAATATTTACTTAAATTATAAAATGGAAAAGAAATTGTGTCATAATGGAAATTTTATATAAATTATTAAATAAAGAGCTAAAAAACTTGGGAGAATATTATCATTAAAGATGGTCTTAAATGTCTCAGTTAAAGTGAAAAAAAAAAAAAAAAAAAGACCTGGAGATGACTTGCAACCTGGCGAACTGTGAGGAAAGGCTCATTCATCCAACTTAATATCTTCTTTGGACGAGCATCTGAATAACAAAGATTAAACCAAGCAATGACATTGAATTAGTCACTAATAATTACCTTATCAAGAATGAACCTTAAGTTAAATCCATAACTGATAGCTATGCAAGAAAAGGGAAATGGATTCAATATATGGTGAAGTAACAGTACTGTTCTCTCCCAACACACGTATGGCTTCTGTAAACTTTAGATGCAGTTCAGGAGTCCAAACAATTGAACGTTTGTTCTCAGCAAACACACTGTTAAAAAAATTGTAAAAATTCATCTGGGCTGAACTCCATGAACCTGGCATTTTGGGGTCATCAACTGTTCTCTTCTCTTTTTGCATGCCTCCATCATCATCATCATCATCATCATCATGATTTCCCTTCCTATTTGCTCTGTGAATCTGGCATTGTGTGGTTACCAAAGCACCTTGCATTGTGCAGTCATCAACTCTTCTCTTCTCTTTTAGTTTGCCCCCTTTAGCACCCTTGTTTCTTTCTCCCTTTGCTCTAAGAACCTGCCATTTTGTGGTTTATCAACTGTTCAAAAACAAGTACTCTGGAATTCTCATGATACGTTATCCTCAACCATGTAAGCAGTTTAGAGTTTTATGGCAATATAAGTCATACCTTTGCACGGCCCACCTTGTCCTGAGACTCCTCAGCATTTTGAGTTTCTTTGGTTGAATGGGCTTTTGAGCGATATGCATGTTGCCATACATATTTGAGATCACTTGAACGGATTGGTTCCTCGAGGAAGTAACATAATCCAGTAGCCAAAGCCTTACGAGTTACATCATCAAATCGTCCAGAGTGGATGACTGCACATGATGTAGAACAAAATATTAATTGAGCGAGGACGTGTTTGTCTAAGTTACCCCCTTTTAGGCATAATAATGAGATTCTGTTTACAATAAGTTCAATAAAAAAGTTAATACAATGTTTTAAATTCATTCCATTGGGTAACTTAGACAAATCCGAAACTAAAATTTTAGGGAAGAGGATTAAGTGAACAGAAAGATCAGAATAGTGGAGTTTACAGATGACAGGAATGTCCTTTCCAAGCACTACATCCAGAAATGAAAGGGGATCCATGCCAGGCATATTGGCTTTGGCCATGACGAGTTTGAACCCGCCTTTATGATCACAAATCATGGATGCTGCTGCTGATGAGTCATCTGTAGCAGTTACTGAATAACCAAACAATTGTCACAGTTATTTATTGTTCATATTAATCAAGCAATGGGAATACAGCGCCGGTTCTTCTTTTTGCATTGCAAAGTCACAGAATCAATTGGGGAAAGGTGTTTGTTGATTTATTGTTTAGCTTTTAAATGAATAAATAAACGAGAAAAATGCAAATATAGTGAAACATTGAAATTGGAGAGTTGCTATAAAAAATAATAAAAAATTCTCAGATCCGGAGTTCAAAACAAAGATTTCAAAAATAATAATATTACACACCTAAGCTACAAAGACATGTCAGATCCAGTACACAATCTAATAATCATTAATGATTTGACAGAGAAAGAATTGACATCAAACGAATTTCACTTGCGACGGGCACAAATAAAAATTTTAAGGACTAACTATTATGTGAACCTTAAAACCACCTTTGATCATTTCTAAATTTATTCCAAAAGATTCAATTTTAATATTTGCAAAAACCTTTGATCTTTTGGATTCTAAAGGCTAAATCTTTTGCATCTTAGTTTTTGCAGTCCGTGTGGGTTAATTTAGAGGGTATATCAAATGAACTGATACGATACAAATCAGGGCAATGAAGTCACACAGAAAGTACAAGAAGTTTTCATATTAAACCTTTGAATGAGTAAAGCTCAAGCAGTGATGAGAGATACACGAGAGACGATTTGTCATCGTGCAGTAGCAGAAGATTAAAGCCTCGTGCAAAACTAGGAACATAATTGATCAATGACCTTGTCTCATCTCCCATTTTCAGGTAATGTCACAAGCCTCAAAAACTGAAGAGAATGAACTTGGAAATTGTTTAAGACCGCAGAGAGAAGAAACTGAGGAAGTAATTTGAAGTGTGACTATGGATTCTGAATTAAAAGAACCTCGGGGGCTATGGTATGAACATTTTTCAACGGCATCATCATAAACTTCAATTACAATTAAGATGACCCAGCTAAAGAACAAAATTGAAAAGCTTTTCGAGTTTATTCCCCTTTAAACAACATCACCCTCCACCACTGTACCATAATTGCTACTAACAACTGATTTGAAGAAATTCTTATCCCCTATGTGAAAATAAGTCAACAGTTTGAAACCTGCTGACCAATGTGAAAGGGTAATGCACGTCCAAGGTCCACAGGAAATTCTAATTACTCAGACGTTGCAAACAAATGCTTCATTCTTCACACTTGTCTAGATAGAATGCCCAATTTTTATTACAAATACATTGACATTAAATTATTCAAAGAATGTATTAATTTTTATTTAAGAGTTATATTTTACACTATAGTTTAATGGAAAATGTTAATACAAGATTGGTTTTTAACAACTGAAAAAATATATTTTATTGAGAGGCATTTATTACACTTTTGCATTTTTAATGTAATAATTTTTTTTTTATACTTTTGCTTGTTTTATTTTGTGGCAACTCTCTTTGAAAAATAATTTTTTTTTCAATTAATAATGAGCCCATTTAAACTTTATGAGGAAATATTGAATTGTATGAAAAGTCAAACAATTGAGTTTGACTCGTTAACTACAGAGTTGCCGCATGGATTTTCTGTCCTAAAGTAAAACAGTTGTCTCCTTTGTAACATCATCGCTTCCTTTCGTTTACATTTGTTAGAAGATAACACACGTGATAGAAATTAGTTGAAATTTCTCGGAATCTGCAATTAAGAATAATAGTTTCATGTGATTGCTCTATTTAAAAGGAATATCTATTTGTGGATAGTTTAAAGAAGACATATTTTAGAAAGTAATATATGTAATGCCTGTGCAGAAAATCCATTTTATGATATGAAATGAATATTCTTCCATTTAAACTTAGTTTGTGTGCTTAACTTGTAATTGAAATTTAGCTTAAACGTATTTTTAGTTTTTATATTTTTATAAGATTTTAATTTTAGTTCTTATTTTTATTTTTATTTTTTTAATATTTGATATTTGTAATTTTTAGTGATTGTGACTAATTTAAATATTATTGTGTTTTTAATTTTTTATTATGCTATGTCATTATTAGAAATTAAAAGTATTAAATTTTAAAAAAATTAACATTAAAATCAAAATAAAAACTATAAAAACTGAGGACTTATTTGATTTAGTTTTAATTTTTAGTTTTTTAAAATTATATTTTAAAACTATTTTATAAAACTATTTTTAGGGAAAAAAAACTTGTTTGGTAATTTAGTTTTAAAAACTGTTTTTAGTTGATATTTCTTTAAATTTTAAGAAAAAAATAAAAAAATTATTTTTAAAAATAACTTAAAAATTTACATTAAAAAATAAGTTTTTTAAATCAAAAAATCTATTTAAAAAGAGAAACAAATAAGCCTTAAAGCATTATTTTAAGTATTAAAATATTTATCAGAAGGAGTTTATCATATAAGTAAATAAATTCTTCTATTATTTAAGCATGAAAGATGTTTGAAGTTTTAATTGAGAAATGTCTAATATATGTGTAAGGACATTTCTATTAAAAAAAAATTCACGAGTTTCAAATAATATTTTATATTGTGAACCAATTATAAATTTTTATACTAACAACAATCGTTAATTTTTATGATAATTAATATAAAAGTACATTTATAATATATTTTAATTGATCGAATGTACATAATATATTCTAATCTTTAAACTGAAAAATGTTGTTATTTATTACTTTATTTATTTATATTAACTTTTAATTTATTTCCTTTGTACGTTTCTTAAATATTAAAAATTATTTTATTAGTAGATATTTTATATTTTTAATAATCAAAATAATGTTAAATAAATTTTTAAATATTAAATAAATAATTTAATGTTTATTATTTGTATTAAACAATATATGCTTAACATAAATAAAAAATTTAATATTATTAATAATAAAATATCAATAATTAATAATATAATTTACTAAATAATACTAATGAACAATCTTTCACTAGATGCATCACTTGACAATTTTTTATATTTCTATTTTGAAAATTCATTTAATATAATATTTTTTAGTTATATTTATTTTAAAAATTAAATTAATATGACTATATTAAATATTAAATAATTAATTAATATATTTTTCTTTAAAATTAATTAATGTTTTTAATTAAATATATACTTAATATAAATAAAAATTCTTAAAACATGCGTGTGTGCCCATCCATATATGCGTGCATGATATGTATCTAAATATATTAATTAAGAAATATTTAATCAGTTTATTAAATGCTTTAATTACTTAAAATTAAGTAATTATTTTAATTTTAATTTTTTTTACTTATCATTGTTTTAAAAATATTTGTTGATATTTTTTTTAAAAAATAATTCTCTTGTTTAATGAAGTTACAAACATAAAATGTTCATTGTTTTTTTAAATTAAACTAAAATATAATTATTTATAATTTCAAATTAAAAAATATTTTTTATACAGAATATGTTTGAAAAAATGTATGAAAAAAATGTATAATTTTGTAAGCTATTTTTAACGTATTTAATAAATTTATTAATATATTTTATTAAAATAAATTATTTTAAATTTATCTTAATATATGCTATTATTAACAAATTTCAAACTCGAAGCGGGATAATAGTGAAGCAGGGTACCGGATCGTCTACAGCCCTCATCAATGCATAAACCATCTCCTCCCTGTAAATTTGTTTATTTTACAAAATAATTTAAATATTAAATACTCAGAGAAATAGAGACCGTTGGATTTAGAGCAGAACGATATGTAAGTTCTCATGGTATCGCAGAGGATCCCGTCTTGTGAAATAGAATACGAAATGCCATCATCCCAAGACTCTGGCAGAGAAAGATCGACGATGATGGTGAGGCTCCATAACTCAAATTCAAATTAGGGTTCCTTTCGAAATCGCCATCTAAATTTCCTTCTTTACTTTGCAGGATGAAACCGAAGAATTGGAACCCTTGTTTGATTATAGCCGGGTTCAGCCTCTGAACCCCACCTTCCTCCATGGTTCGTTTCGAACCCTAAATGTTATGAGCTTGATTTTTTTCCCTATTATTATAACCCCATCCGGAAATGCGTTTTTTTTTTTTTTTTTTTTAAATGAGGATAGGGTTTTAAGCGGTGCTTGAATTTGAATATCTAATGGTCGTCGATGAATGGTAGCAGATGATTTTGATGATGATGAAGTGATTTGCGTTGGTAGCAAGAAGAGGAAGACTTCTCAGAATGTAATGAGTATTTGGCTCAAATTTTATTTTTAATCTCTTTGCACCCGGATGAGTGTTTCTGGTTTTGAAACTTTTGTGGGGTTTAGGTTGAGAATGAGAAGATTAATGTGAAAGGTGCACCTGTGGTGGACCTTGAGGATAAGGATGATGATTGGTTACCTCCTCCACCAAAGATCTCAAGTAATGAACAGAAGACGATTGATGAGGATTCAACTTTGAAAAAGTTGAGGTTGTGCTTATTTCACTCTTCATTGAAATTTTCAAGTGCCAAATTCCAGTTGTTTGCTATTGCCTATCCTCAGCTGGAAACATTTGCTACAACAGTGATATTGCACGATAACTCGATAAACATATCGCATACATCTATATATTTCTTTCTGCTTGGTATTGCTGGCCATATATAGGGAGTTTTTTTCTCGAGCATTGGCATGGCTGAACGTTGATTTTATGCTAGTTTTTATTCGTTCTTGAAAAGAATACATAGTTAATTTGGCCCTAACCACTAAAGGCAATTATAAAATGACATTGTTTACACTTCTTTCCTTTTTCTTTCTTTGTACCTTTCTTTTTTCTGTGTTAACGTAGAGAGGGACAAGAATGAAAAAACCAAAAGAAAACATTTTAGGGGTCAGGAAATTATAAAAGTTTTCATCTCTGATTTCATCAGGTGCTGGACATTCTGTTTTTGGAATTGTTCCACATGTCAACATTGCCTAAGATTTTGATGTATTTTATATATGTTTTCAGTGCTCTGGTAGAAAATGGTTTTAGTTTACCATATAATTACCTCCCAGCCCTACCCACTTTTTTCTACAGTTTCTAATAGGGTGTTATTCATGCGGTTAGATTAAAGAAGCAGGAACTTGCCTCGTTTGCTGAATCAGCAAAAAATTTGTTGAAAACAGTTGAAGAGACTTCGAATTCAGAAATTTATAATTCATTGCAGTCTTCAACAGATGGTGTAAATGAAAAAACTTCAGAACATTCTGAAAGAGCAAAGATTCTCATTTCCCTTCAAGACAAGGATGCAACAAAGCAGATTCGTATGTTCATGGTATATAATTCCTTCAGCAGATATACTTTATGTTGTCAATGTACTTTTATATCTTCTGATTTTGTTAATGTTGTTAATAAGGTAAAATCCAGTTGTAATTTGTTCCACAATACCAAAAAAAAAGTTGTAATTTGTTGGAATATAGGAGTTGTGTTTCTGATATTTTCTTTTTTTCTTCATAGCTTCATTTCTTGTTAGTTTAAACTGAGGCTATTTTTGCTTGATGTCTTACTCTCACTTTTCAATTCTTTCTAGGATGACACGTTTGAAAGGATTGTCAAAACATATGCAGATAAAATAAAATGCGACGTGAAACAGATAGTACTGTCCTTTGACGGTGATAAAATAAGTTTGTCTGAAACCCCTGCCAACCTTGGGATGGAAGACAATGATATTATTGAAGTTCACGTGAAATCAAGTTGATTTAGGTGAGGAATGTTCTATCATCCTGCTTTTAAGAAGTCTGTGTTTTTGGTCATATCATTATCTTCCTGATAATGGTTAACTTGAATTAACTTCACACCTGTCATGATGATATTATTCATGTGTATTAAAAGACCATCATTTTTAATTTACAATAGAAATAGAAGTGGATCCGTGCATGAGTTCTGTATATTGTACTGATTTACCAAAAGAAAATGTTTTCAGCTTTGTCAACACTGATCAAGTACAATGAGGCTGTTTGAAATAGTGGATGTACTTATTTAGGTTGTGGTAAATGTCACTTACGTGGAGAAATATTAACATGTTTGTTCTTAGCCCTCTGAAATATAACTGCTATAGTTGATGGGAAATAAATTTTCTGTACGAAGGAGGCATAAATCGTAGAGAAAATGTTCAATTTTGGGGTGTGGAGGTGTTTTATTGTTTTTATCTCATTTCTTTGTCATTGACTTATTTCTACAGTGAAATATCATTTGTCTACTGCTCCAAAAACCTTTCAGTTGATTACTTTATCGGTTCAAAACGCGATGCCGCTTTGTTGGAACCATACAATATGCCTATACCTTTCTGATTCAGCTCTTCAATTTGAACTCAAGCCGACACTTTAGGGCTTCGTTTGGGAGTCACAATACCTTTGAGCCTTTTTTCAGTATCTTTAGTAGAAGAAAAGCAGTGCTAGTTCTTAATGTATTCGCAATATTGGTTCTAATTGTACAGTACGAATTTTCACGCAATTGACGAGTAACACTTTTTTTTTAGGTGTTATTTTAGTGTCTTTTTGTCAAGATGGTATTGTTTTCTGACAATGTAGAAAATTCGAGCATTACTTGAGTAGTTAGCTTAAGTGTGTTTATATGTCTGTCAATAGTGTTATGGACGACTTTGTTAAGGTAGAATTGAGGGTTAATTCAACTTTTAAAAATTTCAAATATCCTCTTGTCCATGAAACATAATTTAATTTTGTTTATTATGTAATTTATTTTCTTTCTTTTTTTACTAAAAAAATAAATTTTATTTTATAATAAAATTTTTAATATTCTAATCATATATATATATATATATATATATATATATATATAATAAGATCTTTTTACGTAAGTATAAGTTTAAAAATTTTAGATTTGATTTAAGTATTTTATTTAATTTACATCTAAAATTTTTTAAATGTGTATTAATAGATATTTATTACTTGAACGAAGAGCTGCTAAAAATATTAAGTATTTATGTTTTCAGCTATTTAGATTATGCAAAAGACTTGAAAATAAGAGTTGCATGAAAGAAGGAAAAGGATTTTATTATGTTATAAAAACTACCTTAATTTTTTTATACATGGCCTTATAAATTAATAGCTGTCCATATATAATATTTTTAGTCTTTTGCACTTTCATTTATTCAAAAAAATGAGTATCGGATAGATATGAATTAATTATTTTTATCATTCAGTCTTATTATTTGACTAGCCCATCTATGTATTAACAACAAATAAAAAAATATTTATAGCAATAAATTCATCTGTGTATCTATTATTTATAAAAATACTATAAAAAACAGTTTCATAAACATTAGTCATGTCACGCGGCAACGCTATAATAACTTAATTTACTGTTTAGAATTTCATATAAAATTTAATAAAGTAAAATAGTTTATTAGTTGATTTAATATATGAAATTAATTTAATTAACCATTTGATTCGATTTAATTAATTACCATAAAAACATGTTAAATAACACAATTAGATACATATTTTTTAAATTAATAAAAAAAAAAGGTGAAAAAGGTAAATGACTCTAAAGTTGTGATGTATTATGCCTTGTCTCTCATTGACAATTAATTTATAATAAATTATAGATTTGATCTTGTAATAAAAAAAAAAAAATAAGAAAAGGTGTTGGTACAGTACACTTTTGGTGTGGATGTAAAGAGAGTGAAAAGTGTGGAGAACTCGTGAGGCAGGGGAGCGTGGGCCCTGGCTAGTTGCTCCGCCCATCCCGGTACGCGAGATGCGATTGGTCCAACGCGGGTAAACTTTCGGATTACGTAACCACTCCATTCACATGCACTATACATTGGATAACGTCCTCCATCGACCCCACACTCCCTGTCCATGCTGGAAAGTACCATCTCTCCACTGCACACGTCACCACCCTCGTTTGGGTAAAGTCTGCAACTACGCATCACTCATCACGCTTCAACTACACCTACACCCAACCCATACTTCAATTCAATTCTTCACTCCCTTTTTTCCCAAACTAAGATAAACAACACCCCTCAGTACTCTCTCTCTTTTCCCCCTCTTCCACTCCTTTTTATTGCAAAACAATCCAAGGTACGCCTATTTCTTCTTTTTCAATTTTCCAAGTCATTCCCAAGTCAACGCAGCTGCTTCCTTTCGCTTCTTTCTGTTTCTAAGGATTTCATTTCATGTTCATTCTTCCATGCTATGTTTTATAAACAGTATACGCAGTGTTTTTTTTTTCTCCTTTTTTTTTTTGCTCTTTTTTTTTAAATAATAAAATGAATTGGGATCTCTTTTGTTTGGCTGTGGTTTTGTCATCTTCATGGCGATGTGGTTTCTGCTAGATGATAGTATTTGGGAGGTGAGAGTGGCGACTGCCGGGCTATTGCTGAATTTCCACTGATTCGGATTTTCCAATTTGGGTGTTTATGACGAGTGATCACAACCATCCCTATTGTACTGTATATTAACTACAAATGCTTGAGTTTTAGTCATGTGTGCAAATAATGGAGATTTTAAAACAATTCCTTTGGGATTCCCAATGAATTTTGGAGCTACATGATTGAGATGGTAATTTGAATCACCTTTTTTTTTTTAATATTTTCTACTAGGACTGTTTAAAACCATTATGAGTTTGGCTTTAAGTGAGATAAGTAGCTCAACGTGATACTTAAGCCATAGAGCTTTCCCACTTAATGAACTAGTGTTTGGGGTGTGCTGGCGTCACCTGCTTGGGTGGTAGCAAAAACATTCTTAATATGTGTTGTTATAGTTTGACTGCAGTATATGCAAATGTATTCGATGTAAAGCTATTGTCCTTTTTCAGCTTCAAATTCTATTGACTTTTCTTATTATGGTTGTGTTTCTGTTTTAGATCTTCTAAACCATACAAGACAGCCCTTTGGCATAAAAGGTTTCTGCAACCATTTATGGAGCAGCTGAGCTGATATCTGGATTCTTCTTTATTCAAATTGCTGCCCTACATAGTATGAGGTTTTAGAGTTTTTTTTCATGTTTGAAGTTGTAAACTAGGGAAATGGAGAAAGTTTGTGAATTCTGCACAGCTTTTAGGCCACTTGTTTACTGCAAGGCTGATGCCGCATATCTTTGTCTATCCTGTGATGCAAAGGTGCATTTGGCAAATGCATTGTCTGGCCGACACCTCCGTACCCTTGTGTGTAACTCATGCGGATACCATCTTGCTTATGTTCTGTGTTTGGACCACAAAATGTTAATCTGTCGAGATTGTGATCAAAAGTTGCACAATGTTTCTTTACCACATCACAAAAGAGCTATCAGAAGCTTCATGGGTTGCCCTTCTGCCAAAAACTTTGCAGCACTCTGGGGTTTTGAATTGAATAAGATTGAAAACAGTGATAGTCAGGATCAGTTTGCTTCCGTTTCTTGTGTTTCTGCAGATTTGAATGGGGTACAAGTCTCAGGAAAGCTTAGCACTGGCAGTCAAACTGGGGTCTCGTCAACGCTATCTGGGGCCAAACTTGATGGGGGTTCGAGCAGTCAACAAGGTCAGGTATGCAAGATAGAAGTTTTAACACCTCTTTTGTTGTAGTGATGAAATATATAATTTTAGATTTCAGTCATTTGAAAATTACGTTGTTGATAACTAATGCCCTGAAAATATAAAGTTTATTTCTATGTCACTGAACCTTTCCATTTTTAAAAAAATTATGAAGGCACCACTCGTAAACCATGTGGTACTTATGAAGTGTTTGACTGAAAATAACTGAACTAATAAATGCATAGTTTAAAAGCACGCACATTAACATCATATGATACAACTTTACTTTCCATACTTTGTGAAGATGGATCAGTAAAGGAGTGGTTGTTAATGAGTTGAGACTTGAACAGGATGGACACTTTTTCTTGCTTTCATTTTCTTCGGAAAAATAGATGCAATGAAAGGATATTTGAAATTTAGGTGTTGATGATATTTTGTCAAAAGAGAGAAAGTACAGGTTTTTTATTCATTGCAAGTCCAAGGAATGTTTAATGCATTCTTATATGAAGAATTTGCAACAATTATAAATAGGTATAAATCAAAATATAGTCCTTGAAATATATAGTTAAATTCTGAAAAGTTTTACTTTTGTTTCTAGTCCTGATTCAATAAATCAGCATAACAGATAGTATAATTTGAGTATAAATGTCTAATGTCCAATTAAATAGCAAAAGGAAGAAAGAAAGAGAAGACAGAAGTCAATACAAACAGCTTTTACAAAATGAATTTATCTAAATGAAACCCACCGGATTTTCATTCTTCGGCCTCTAATTATTTAATTTTGTGTTGCAGATATTGTACAGTGATCAAGAGCGACAAACTATTCTGCAGCAGATTATTGATTTGAAACGGCTTCAGCTAAATGAGGAGATTGGCCATTCTGCAAAGATAAATAGGTTACAAGAAAAAGATTTATCTCCTTCAAAATATCATACTCTTAAGAAATTGAACAAAAAATTCAATCAGCAAGCACCAAATTCCCAGGATCTTGCTACTGATCTTTTGGAGAAAGACTGTCCCATTATGGAGTTGAATCCTGAAACTTTGCCTTCTACGTTTTCTCAAATTGATAATTTATCTTCATCTTCAATTATAGACCTTCCCTTGCATGGAGAGTTGTTCTGGACATGCAGAAGTCCACTTCGGAGTAATCAGGTCAGATAATTATCTGTTCACTGTCGTTGGCCATAGTTGGACTGTTTGGTTTTAATCACTGTTCTTTAAGATATTAACAAGTAAATGCAAACTTGTTCTCCTAATTTTCACTTTGCTGTGATGAGATGTGCCTTTGGGCTATGCATCATGTGATACTTAATGACAACTTAAACGAAAATATGAAGGTGTCCACACAAATATGCAATGACTGTATCACATAAATTGTCCTTTTTCTGTATTCATTTTTCAAGTACGGTTTGAAATAAAAAACTTGGTTGTATACATTCCTTGGAAATATAGGCTATGATGTAGAATGGGAACAAAGAGACAAGGAATAAACTTAAAAATGCTTAAAACACTATATTTGATATTAAATTATTAAGACAAGCTACCATTAATAAGACATAATATGCCTTGTATAGGTATCTCAAAGGACCATAAATCTGATAAGACAAGCAACACAAGCTTAGGCTCAAATAATCCTCATCTAAAATAGAACATAAATTCATAAGGTGGTTAAGGATAAGATATCCCAAAGAATCAATCTACTATACCCTAACTTCCAAAATTATAGATGATTAATCCCTCAATCTTCTATTAGGTTATTCAAACCCTAATTCCCCATTTTTTATTAAGCCATAAATCATAAATTAATATAATTTGAAATATAATCTTCCCATGCCGCAATAGGCTTCCAATGTTGATAATTGTTATACATGTCTAAAGCATTTTCCATGCATATATTAATCAAACAGAAAACTTAACTTTAATGCCAGTATAGCCAGCACGGACAAACACATAGACATATTGATGAAAGAGCTGAAAGGATATACTGGAAACACAAAATAATAGTTGTTCACATTGTCCTCTTGAGTCCTGATAAACTGCCAAGAAAAACCAGACATATCAAAAGATATTGTGCAAGAAATAAAACATGAGTAGATGCTAGATAGGGCTTCTAAACTAAAATCAGTGTCATAAAAGTTCAGAATATATTATTTCAAACTATTCATTCTGATGCATTACTCTTAGTACTTCCTACCCAATCTCTGTCAGTGACAAGAAACAAGAAAAATGAATGTCTGACATCTGGTAGTGTAAACAGGCACTTCTTTTACTCTGTTTTTCTGACTGAATTATTGTCCGATTTATTTGAATTTGGTTGAAATTGATTGTTCAGTATCAAGCATCTGGATAACTTTATACGTCTGGCCAACCATAAAATTTCTTTATGTCAATGTTTGCAGTTGTGGTCCCAAAACATTCAAGACCTTGGGATATGTGAAGATTTTGTTTGTCAAGATGATTTTAACATACCTGATGTTGACTTAACTTTCCAAAACTTTGAGGAATTATTTGGAGGAGATCAAGATCCAGTCAGATTATTGCTTGATGATAAAGATGTCTCCTACTCTTTTTTGGAGAAAGATATGTCAGTTGACAAGTCAGATATTGACAACCCAAATGCAATGGAGGTCTGAATTTCTTACTTTATTCAACAGATTTTCACTACCTCAGTGTCTTGATAATTATAGAGCTACAACAGACAATAAAGATAGTGGAAGAGTATCATAAAATATATATCAACTTGAGCAGAATATAAAGAGAAATTTCTTTCATTTGACTAATTTTACAGGATTGAGGACAATGTTAATGTAGTGTAAACATTATGTGCTGAAAAGTGCACTCCATTAGTTTCCTGTCACTGGCTCTCGATTTCTTCCCTTAAAAGAGGAAGATGTGAAACCCATCCAATCTATACATGAGCAATATTGGTGTAAACATTTATTTGGGAAGCATTCAAACCAGTGAATTGAGTTAGAAAGATATCATAGATACTGTTAAGTTGTCACATTCAAGATTCAGCAAACATGGTAACTTATTACTTTATAGTTATATCTAGAATTGAGTTTTCTTGAAATTGCACTTCTTATCTTGGTACTAGTACACTGAAATGCCATAAGAATTGGGGGACTACCGTATCCTTCCATATGTGATGCAATGGTTTAGATCCATAAATTTACAGGAGTATATGGTGCACATTTTAGAAAGTTCCTATTGTTGAATGTATAGTAAGCTTCAGAATTAAAAGGAAATTTTGTAGTTATTAATTCCAGATGATCTTCACCAAAACCATCTAATTACGTATTCATAGATAGGTGATATGAGCTAAGGTGTAAGAAGTCAAGGTAGCATCAATAAGATACCCTGTCTCCAAAATAAATTGCCTTTTAATGGTACTGTTGTTTTTCTGTCATGAAAGGATTCTTCGGCTGCTGCATCCGTAACTATCTCCCAAACTGATAATGAGAACGAGGATATGAATCCTCTCAACCCTAAACCGTCCTCTGTTCTGAGATTCAATGCTGAAAGCAGCCGCACTGATAATGATGACAGTGCCCTTTCTCCCTACAGCGAAGGGAAGGGATATTCAGGCAATTAAGCTGAACTGGAGATTGCATACGTGGTGGCAAAAGGAAATGTCATTGTGAAGTATTAAGAGACAAAGTCTCAATTGTGAGTTCTGGGTGCCAAGTGCTTCACTTTACCCTTGTTTAGCTGAGAAATTTTAATATGCCCTCCAGTTCACAACTAATTTGGTTCAATCTCCATCTTCGTATTGTTGTTGATTTTGACATCTGATTTTTTTTGTGACCATATTGATTTAATAGCATCAATAATGCATTTTATCCCTGGAAATATTAATTTTTAGATTGACTTATGTATTCATCAATTTATCATATTTATATTCTTTTGCTTCCAGTTCCAGGCATGAGAAGCAATTTTGACTTCTATCCGGGGAACCTGGAGCTAATGTAAGAAAGAGGGTGAAAGGCATTGCTAAGGCAGAAAGCAATTAGACCTTCGTATCTGCATGCCGTAGATATATCTATCTAGTCTAGACTCCAGACTGTTTCGCATCACGAGGCTCATGTTCAATTGATCAACTGATTCCTTCAATTTCATGCACATTTTGTTGGGTTATATGTTGTAACACGTATTGCAGCATAATATACTACTTCCTATTCAGAAGGAGTCAATCTGTGTGCATGTAACTTAGGAATAAAGTTCGAACAAAATCTTCCCTAAATTTGAGTTGACTTCCTGTTAAATAGTCTAATTATCTTGACAACTCGTTTCCCATATATAACATCCACTTAACGCCATGGACACTATGTCCATTAGCAAAAGAAAAATGTTTGAGAAATTAAACCAATTGTATTTATCACATGCAGTGTTAAGTTTTTTGTTCTAATAACAGAACTGCAGGAAAAAACTCCAGCTGCAAATGCTTCTAGTGTCCAAGGAAATATACTTTTGGGGATGAAAATACTCCTGGTTTACCATAGCTAAAGTTTTTATGGTTGTTGATAAATCATGTCTTTTGCTACCGGCAGATCTCGGGACTCTTTTGGGGTCTCTTGATGGTTGACTTGAGTCAACACCTTTCGTTTCTACCTGATATTTGAAATGAGTTCATAGTGTGTACCCGCTAACTACTTTTACGGAATAATCTACCAATACTCACGGTCGTGTTGTTATGGTGATGTAACAGAGGTTCCAATTCAAATCAAGCTTTGGATTGTCCTCTACAATCAGCCATTTTCAATGGCAGTTCTGTGCATTGAGACTAGTAGAGAAAGGGACATTTGCCAATTGGTCCTCAGACCTTGATAAAACTTAAGAACAGCTAATTCAGCTTTTAGTTATAATAGCAGTGTGATCAAAGCTGTAATGATAGGGAAACTTAATCTGACCAATGTTTGTTTTATGAATGATATTATTTGAGAAGAATTGTGTGGCTAACTTAACAACCATGACACGTGGGAAGGGCTTTGGCTTTTGCCTATTGAGAAAGAAATTAATGAGAGTATCTTTGGATGTGTGTTATATTATTCAACAAACGTTTTGACACCAGATTTTGATAGAGTAGCGATTAGAGGAAGAGGTTGTTGTAAATGTGATAAAGAAGCAAACCCTCTACCCTCTCCCTTCAAAATCATTTAAAAAGACTATGATGGGCTCTGTATTCCTAAATGTCAAAGTGTCTTAATCCAATCCACTTTGTGACTTGAAAACGGGAAACCAAAGCCGAGACCACCAGCCAATATGCCTTGAAACTAACTTCAAATTCAAGCATTATATAATCAAATGCTGCTCTAACCGCAACTGCACCTTGAATACGCCCTCCAAACTGTCTCAGCCCTTATTATCTTTCTGTTAGAACAAAAAAAAATATTATTTTTTTTGTGTGTGTGTTCAAAAGAAAGAATAAATCATATGAGGTGGACCCCAATTTTGGAATTTGATGTGATTGAATTTTGATTTGAGTAGAATAAAACATTTGATTTTGCCAACTACAGGTACTGCCGTGAGTAGTTTAGAAGTTTATGAATATGTAATTTTCAAGTAAATTTTCATATTTTTAAGGATTTTTTAAATTATTCATTTGGTGCTCAAATGATAAGCTTTGTTAACACCAACATTGTCCAAAATTTAATATTTATTATGACCAAATTGACGTCATTTAATGATAAAAAATTAATTGAAGGGCCAAATTTGATATCGCCGGTATTTTAAAGATTATATAAACATTCTAAGTTATCGAAAACCAAATTAAGTGTTTATTCCACGATTCTTTTATATGTGACATTACTAACTTTTAATATGATCGCTACGCGGACTTGAATTCTTAAAAATGTGTAATGCACTTAACGAATATTAAGGTGAATAACAATTAGTTGAAAAAAATATCAAAGATGTCAATTCGTTGAACCGGTTCAACTGTTTTAGTCATTTCAACAATTTTGGAGTGTTACATTTATATAGAATACAGGTGGTGGCAGTGATTTCAGATACTTTGGTTTTGTTAATTATTATCTCAAGCACAATATTTAAAGAATTGAAAATATATATTTTTCATTAAAAAGTATAAGATTTAATATGGACGATATGTCTCTACCCTAGTATTAAATAAAATATGTATTTATTAAGTTGTTGACCATATAATAATTAACGAAATCGATGTTACTCGCATTAAGTAACTATCGACGTCAGTGCACATGGATTTGACACTAAACATTTAGATATCATCCAATACAGATAAATAAAAAACGATGCATAAAAGCAATAATTGATAAAAGGATTATAATTTATAATGTGGCTGAAGTTAATTGAGGTTTGGCGAATAAAGAAGCTTGCTGAATCAATTTAATACCCGTAATACGCAAACAAAATGTATTATTATTTCACAAAACGAAAAAGAAAGGATATCGAAGGACAGTGCCTAAGACGAGTTTGAGTTTCAAGGAACACACAATTGAAAATACGAAAAAATCCAAGAAGATCGGCGAGGACCTTTCGAAATGATGGGGGCAATTAGGGAAAACAATTTCCGCGCCACAAAAATTGCATAAGGTCCGAAAGAGCATTCTGTTAGGAAGTGTGTCAGAGACGGTTACTTTCTTTCTTTCCCTCGCACCAAACACGCACCTCATCCATCGCCACTATAAAACCTATTCTTCCACCTCTCTCTCTCTCTATCAAATCTCTTTCTCTTTCTAAAACTCCATCTCTCTCTAGAGAGAAGCTCAGAACCAGCTGTTAGGTGAGGACTTTTCTCCGTTTCTCCTCGTCTTTGTAGCGTTCAAGAAATTCAAGAGTTTCTTCATTCGAGCCATGTTTCTTTTAATTTATTTCTCTCTAACATTTGTTAATTACAGTTACCATTTCATCGACATTTCTTGAATCCTTTGTTTGTTGTTTTCTTCGATCGCGCAAGAGTTTCTGTGAATTTTTAATGAGTCTCTGAAACGACTATGACCTAAAAAAATCGATAACGTACACGATTCGCTTAATTCATCGTCACGTCTTTGAAATTGTTCTTATCTTCGTCTGATTTAATTTGCAGAACTCTTGCATCAAGAAGAATGCATAATAAGGACGCTTGTTCCCCCTCCTCCAACGGCGGATTTGGCGCCACCGCCGCCAGTCAAATGCCGTCAAACGGCAACGCCTATAGTTCATTGTACGCCGCTTTGTCGAACGAGAATATTCCGTCATTCTCAGCAAACTGCAGCAACGGTGGCGGCGTCTCGCTGTACCCGTACTCTGACTCCACTCAGTACGACTCGTGCGTTATTCAGAAGCACCAGGATATGGTGAACCGTCACAGCATGTGCCTCAGTCGCCTCGTGGAAACTTCCAAAGAGGTCGAAGCTCTTCGGCAAGAGAATGGCCAGCTCCGTGCTGTGAACAAGGAACTTCAGAAGCAGCTGAACCTCCTCATTCAGGCTTCGCTAGAGAACCAATTCGGCGGCGGCGGCGGCTCCTCCGGCCAGACGCAAACGACGCCGTTTGATGTCGTGCATGGGTTCCGCGGATTTCACATTGGGGAGGGGAAAGAGAACTGCGCCGATTGGAATCACAATAACAACAATAATAACAATAGTAATAACAGCAATAATAATAAGGAGCTGCAGGAAATTTCGGACGAGAGTCCAACAAGCGTGATTGAGAATAACGGTGTTGAGTTGGAGAGGTTCTCTCTTCCTAAGAGCATATCTGTGAGGTCGAATGGCTACTTGAAGATGGCTCAGTCTGCGGCTCTTGCCAGCAATAATGCCTCTCGCAACAAGGGCGCTACTCGCCCACGCACTTCCTCCGCTCCGCCTGAAGCCGTTGTAAGGACACACATACTACCTTTTTTTTTTAATTATTATTATTGTTGTTGTTGTTAACAGTATTGTCTTCTTTGTTTTGCTGTGTGATTATTGCTTTTATCGTTATTTACCAAACTTGACGTGCTTGTTAGTTGCTAATTATTTTCCTTTCAAAAGAAGTAAAACCTTGCTTGTCTCTGTCATTACCTGGTAGCTGTAACGAACGGATTAGTTTTTGGTTTATTTTTTTTTTATCATTTGTGGGTGCTTGTTTTGGAAGTGTGCAACTCTAGTTAGTATTGGGGTTCACAGGACCCATTCATTCTAGTTTCTCTGAAGCACAAAAGAAGTAGCCCAACCCTGAAGCATTTATGTGACAGTTGTACCTTGGGTGGTAGCTTTCCTGGGCGTTAGGGTCGTTAGGTGGGGTTCTGGCTTGCCCCGTTTCCTTTTCTAGTCAATGTGATATATGCCTGGGTATCGTGCTCCAGTTAAATAAAATTAACTTTGATGGAGCCATGCAATTCTTAACACGAAAAATGTTACTTGTACAATTAGGAAGGAATATTTAGGTATTTTATTTTAATAAAATTTTAGTGTATTTTCAAAATGTATACATATAATAAAAATAAATAAATAAGAGATAAAAATAATAATATATAATATTACAAACATGAATTTTTATTAATTTTAATAACAACTATTTTAACATTATAACTACGGAGTCAAGGAATTATTTTTCTTGCATCTCTAAACTTTTAAAATATAGTTAGTGCCAACACCAATTATATTTCCTGTCGTGATTATATATATTTTTTTTACCAAATTTAACAGTTTGTCGTATGGTTCATGACTTTAGTTAGTGAGATAAGAATAAGTTATCGTTGATGTTGTTTTTATTATTATTATTTCTCTTTTGGGGTTGTATACCTTAATGTGTTTAAGTGACATTTTCCTTTAAAATATGTATGTCATTCTGTAATGATCCGCCATTTTGCTGCCAGTGGTTTGTAAGTTCAACGCTTAAGAGCCACAGATAAAAATACCTTACGAGCTGTGACGGGACCCTACCAACGTCAATTGGAATCATGATGAAAATTCTTATTGTCAGCAAAGAACATTAAGACATTTTAGTAGCCGTGGAATTACTAATTAGTGTGTGGAAAGTATTTATATGATGAAATAGATATAAATGCATGATCGCGCATCGACTTTAGAAACCATTTGGCAATTGAATACAATTAATTATATGGTTGAAGATTGAAAATGCAACATGTAATAATTCGTCGATTATATCTAATTAAGACTTGATTGTTGCTATCCAGAAGAAAGGGTGGAATTGTTTTTCTTAGTTGTTGATTAATGATATTTGCTTTTTGTTGAAATTTTGCGTATGTTGCTATGCTACAGCAGAAGGTATATGTACGAGGAGGGCAGAAAGAGGAAGAGCCTCTTGAAATGGTAGTGTATAATCAAGGAATGTTCAAAACTGAGCTGTGTAATAAGTGGCAGGAAACTGGCACATGCCCATATGGAGACCACTGCCAATTTGCTCATGGCATTGGGGAGCTTCGCCCTGTCATCCGCCACCCACGCTACAAAACTGAGGTCTGCAGGATGGTCCTTGCTGGGGTTGTATGCCCATATGGCCATAGATGCCATTTCCGACATGCACTTACTGAACAAGAGAAGGCTGTATCACAGCCTAAGCCCAGAACAATGAAGCTGGAAAGATAAGATAGTCTGCTGCAGTAAACGTAAACAGTACATAATAATATTCTTCATTGTGTAATTACAAACATGGACAAGCACAAGCTAAAAAATAATTACCTTTCTAAGGAAAAGTAAGGTAAGAAAAAGAAATATATAGGGGGCTTTCGGCAAGATGAGATTTAGGGCAGGATTATTCGGGAGAATGTGGTCAGTAGTCGTCGCGTCGTTTCTTCTTTTTCTTCCCCTTAAGTTTGACATTTTGATTTTTGAACACCACATACATAATACATCTGGTGATCCCAAACCAAGCAACCAACGAGAAAGTACTCTTTGTAATGATACTACTTTTTTGTTTTGTATTTTGTTTTTTTTTTTTTTGGGGTACTTTTGCAAGATACTATTTGATACTTTACAAAGTAAGCAATTTCTGATTGTGGTTGCAATATATTTTAGTACTGTAGCCTTTTTCTTAGCAGCCTCCCTTTTTTATTTAAATACGAATATATTTAACCTATATTTGCTTTTCTTTTTCTTTTTCCTTTTTGGTCAACAACCTTCATTTGCTTATCGAGTAAATCTATCTTTCCTTTTAGGCTAAGAGATCATGAAATAAGCTTCGCAGTTCGCAATTCGTAGTAAGAGTACTTACGTGTATTCGGCCCAAGATTCCTTAGGCCTAGGCTCAAGCACAGTCATGTGTTCGCTCCTGCCTTGTCCAGAGAATCAAATAGGCCTAGGCTGAACAAAAACAAAACTCTGCTTATTTGGGCCCCCAAATGATAGGGCACACGTAGACATTGGAAACCTATATCCTTCTAGTGTCTGATATACTTTGAAAGACATTTTCTTTGTTGACAAAAAGAGAGGCATATTCTTTTTAGGTCCATGTACGTACATAGACCAATATCTAAGAATTGTAGATGCTGATCCAAAAATAAAAAAACACTGTAAGAAATGCATATTTGAATTGGGCCAGGCTAAGAAATAAGAACCCCAGCCAACTAAAGAACATCTGAGACATCTGTTTTACTTCAACGGCCTTACACTAACTTCAATTCATACTAAATAAATAAAAGTACCTTTTTTAGTTAAAAGTTATGATTTTTACATTTTTAACATTAATCTTATTAAGAATTAAAATCAATAAAAATTGTGTGACTAGTAGATGTGAATAAGATTAGAATATAAAGAGTACAACACCGAGAACAGCGTGGGATTAAACAGAAAAGATATAGAGTAGCGTGTGATGGGGGTACGTGTCAGGAGGTGTGTGTAAGTTAATAATGAAGGGTCATGTGTCACCGGGGACTCCACTCCATGTGGGTTTGAGCAGAAGCAACGGCACTTCTTATGCTCTATATGTATGTGTGGGATTCCACTTTGTTGTTATTGGAGTTCGATGAGTATTGATGAAAGGGAATTTAGAGAGAAAGGGAAAGGGGTGAAGAGCTTTAGGAAATTATGGGAGATGGGAGGGTCGGCAAAGAGGAGCAGATCTCAACTTTTGTCTCCTTTACCGATTCCACCCATTCCTATGATTTCTTTTGGTTCCTCTCTTTTCACTCTTCTCTCCAATTTTTCACTTCTTCCTACCTCCACTACGTAAGCTAACACCCCTCTCCCTTCACTACGTTTTATATGTTTTTTTATTTTCGGAGCGCCAAATAGTAAAGTTTCTTCCTTATTCTCATTCTCTCTTGACGGACACATCCAGCTAGTGTGTTGAGGGTTTCCTACTAAACAAAAACCATGAAATCGCTTATTCTTTTTGCTCCTTCCCACTTAGTTATTTTCCTCTACTTCTACTTATAGATTAATTTAATAAGTCCTTCAAGGTATAAAATACCATGGAATCTTGGATTGGTTTGTAGATTCATGATCCCATTTTGATATGTTCATTTGAGCATAATGAAAGGACAGCACCTCCGGTTACACCTTTTGCTCCATCAAACGTAAGTTGAGACGAGACGCATATAGAAGTTGTTAGCAAATTATTAAATACCAAACTTATAAAATTTTTAAGTTTAACCCGTTTAAATATTTAAATTTAAACCCATTTATTCACTACTAATAAATTTAAGTAAATATTTAATAAGTTAAAACTCAAATAATCTGTAAACAGTCTATTTTTTCAATATAACCAGTCTAATTTACAGTTCCAGTTATAAAAAGTTTAACCCGAGAAGGTTGAATTTCAAGAATTGGTTATTAAAAATATTATATCTTATAATTTTAATATAGTGAATATGATTTTAATAAAAAAAAAACTATAATTCTTAAAAGTAAAATAAAAATATAATATCTAAATTTAACGAAATCTTATGAATAATGGTAAAACATTAGTATATGAGTAGAAAATGTTGAGGACGTTAAAAGGTAAAAAATGATATTTTTGTAACTTGAATAAATATGTATTACCTTTAAAGGTTAACAAAACTCTACTTTTAAAGCCACTGTAAACTTTTGTTTTAGGGGTATCACTTATTTCATACTAATAGTTTTTAATTTTTTTTTAAAAAGAATTACTATTTATTTAATGAATAATATTATCCTATTAAATATGAAAAATATTTTGCATAAAACTGTTCTCTCATTTAAATGAGTTTCTAACAGAAAATCTCATCTACTTTTTTCACTTTTTTACTAATTAATGTCAACTTTATTTTGAATTTATATTAATATTATTTTCTCATCGCTTAAGGTGCATTATCCCGTCAACACGGGTGTATTTTTATTTCAATTTTTGTTTAAAATTAAAAATAAATGTTAGATAAAATTAATTAAAAAAATCTAATATCTTAAATTAGAAAGAAAATTTAACATTCAAATAAAAAATTAAGATAATTTTAATAAGTCATTTTGAATAATGCAAAAAAATCCCGTGACTAACTTAACGCGTGTTTGAAAATTTAAAGTAAATTTATGTCAGAGTGAATGTGGTCTGATCTAAACACGCTAATAGACGTTGATTCATTCTGATTGGCGATAGCAACTTGGAAATTGGATTAATGAAAAAAGCTTAAAATAAGGGTTGGGAATACTAATAAAAGTGAAAAGATTGGAGGTGAAAGAAAAAGGACAAGACTGCACCACTGAACAAGGCAAGTATCACAGACGCGTGTTCCGTCTTATTACGGCAAATTGGGTAAAGCGCTGAGTCATCGTCTCATCTAAAGTCATGTGAGTGACATTAACGTTATTGATATCAACGCGTTTTGGGGCAGTGTGATGAACGTTGTTCCTCACGTCACTGTCTTAAATTGCCCACCAACACCAACACCAACACCCACAATAATTGTTTCACTCATCACTAACAACACAACCTCGCTTTCCCCTTTGGAGTTGCTTGAGGCTTCAAGGAAAGAGAGTTATGATCGAGGAAGCTTTTGGTAATGGGTGGTCTGGTAAGAGATTAAGATTAAGATGCATTCGCCCTTTCTCTTCTCTTCTCTTGCCAGAGCCTCCCATTCCAATTGCTTCCTATCGTTCCTCTCTTTCCTCTTTTGCCTCCTTTTCTTTCATTTTCCCTCTTCTAATACCCCTCAAAGAAGAGAAAGGGAAAGGGAGAGTGTGGCAGAGAGTCTCTGGGTTGGAGGCCTGGGAAAGAAAGCTTTTTTTTTTTTATGCCATCTTTTTTTCCCAGACCTCCAATACCGATGATTTTCTACCATTTTTCTCTCCCATTCCTCGTTTTCTACCGCACTATAGGTGTTGTGGTTATGGTAAGTCTCTGTTCAACCATTCTAATAGCCAAATGCTTCTATTAACATGCGATTTCTGTTTTATTTATCCATATTTCTGTCTCTGAGATTTTTCATTTATTCGGTATTTGGGTTGACTATTCTATTATTGTATGTTTATTTTATTTGCAATTCATATCCAAGCGTAGCAATTTTGCAAAGTCAGTCCGCAGCATGAGGACCAAGGAGGACTTGCTTGTTTAACCATTTTTGTTTACCCAGAATTCTGCGTCATCAACAAACCAAATTTGTTCCGGAATATTCTTTACATAATTTTTTATGATTTCTCCGACAGACACGATGCAAGGCTTTAAAATGTTTTTCTTGCTCATCATAAATATTTCACATCATAATCCTCAGCTCAGGCCTGTATTAGACTCGCTCATACTTCAGTCGGTGACAGTTTTAATTTTCTTAATCTGTGAATATTTGTAAAAAAATGTTCATAATCATATTTAATAAATATTTATACGTTAACACTTGATTCTCTTTTTGGAACAGATTAATTAACAAAAAATGTTTTTAAAGACTAATTGTATTAATTTTTATATATAAATATAACGCCCAATTCAATTTAAAATATATGCTCGAGATTAGTTGTTTCGCCGTGACCGGTAGTCACTTCGGGGAAAATTGCGTTGAGCAAAGCGTAAACCGAGATCGGTACGACATAAGCAGAGGGTTATAAAAATAGAGAAAATGTTAATTACGGGTGTTTTTATTAAAATACTATCTGAAATTATGAAAATATAAAATATTACTTTTCAGCAAATATATTATTTTACACTATTTAAAATTAATTTTAAGGGTTGGAATTTGATGAAAAAAGAGTATTGATAATAGTGTTTTAAAAATACACTGTAAAGATTCAATAACCATGCATTTTTATTAAAAAAAAAAAGTTTAATGGATCAAAAGTATATTTAAAAAAAAAGCGTGTAGAAAAGCATTGTCCCGTTTCATTAATATATTTTAAAGTTTCTTAATCCATTTATACACCAAGGGACGAATTTTGTAAGAAAGTTAAAATTTTTTAATTATTTAAAAATAGTTACACGTAGGATAAAAATTGGGCCTATAATATGTCCTATTGTACGTCATTTATAAGCATAGTCATTTTAGTAAAACTCCCAGGTCTTCCTATTAAACTATTTTTTCCGATTTCATGAAAATAAGGAGAAAAATGGTAGGTCAGAAAAAACATACAAACAATAGAAGTGTATTATTTAAATAATAGAAAATAATAAATAACTATAACTACATAATTTTTTTATAAATTAAAAGTTAGATTGAACTCAATATTTAAATTGTTTACTTATTTTTTCATACTATAAAATTATTTTATTTATTTGCTTTTTATGTTATAAAAAATTTAAATGAACTTAAACAACGAAAAGTGTATTCTCTCCCTAATTTTTACATGATTTTGATATCTACATTTTTCTTTATAATTTTCATTCTTTTTATATATTTAAATATAATTTTTAAATTAAAAATAATCCATCTCAAAATAGTTTTCCTTCAATAAGAC